GCCCTGGCCGGTTTGGCTCAGCGGTTAGAGCATCGGCCCGCGGACCAGAGAGACCCGGGTTCGGTTCCCGCTAAGGGCACGTGCCTCGGTTGCAGTATGTCAGTTTGTCCCCGGCCTCAGTTGGGGTCGTGTGGGTGGCAACCAGTTGATGTGTCTCTCTCACATCGATGTTTTTCTCTCTCTCTTCCTCCCACTCTTCTTCCCCCTCTATCTAAAGATAAAATGCAAAAATGTCCTCAGGTGAGGATAAATAAATAAATAAATACAAACCAGAGCTCCTACTGGGAATCAGCTCAAATATTATTTCATTGTTGCAGCTGAGGAAACTTCCAGGGCAATTAATACTCGCAACTAACTATCGATGTGACAGCGAGGACATCTGTTACTTCCAAGTGAATTCCACACGGCTTTCTCCAAGTCCAGGATGAAGCCCAGCATTTAGATAGCGGCCTTCCTTGGCTCCAGAAAGAATGCTTCAGGCTGAACCAGTCGTGTTTACAAAAAGGTGTTGCTAGAAAGGAGATAGTGTGTCAGTGGGAGGAAGGCACTTGGACCATTTGCCCAAAAGGGATTTGAAATGTCACCAACAATGATGTTTTGAACACTAGAGTCTTCGCGCAGAAGACACATTTCTGTTGTGGATAGAGTGATGTTCTCGAAACCCTCCCGGCAATGATACGTAAAAAGTGATTGAGGATTTTAATTCAGAAGTGAGTTGGACTGGAAATTGAAGGGGTTTTTATTGGAAAAGGGAGAGGCGTTGAGGGGAAAGACTCAAGTGAAGAAACTGGACAAAGGGGGACCAGAAACCGAGGAGATGCTCCAGCCAGAAGCAGATGGTCAGAAATACCACGCTGACGGCAGCCTAGGCAGGGAGGCGGAGGAACGCCAGTGTCCCGGCTTCTTCCCTCACCCCTGCACCTCTGAACCCGGAGACCCACTGTGAAGCCAGGACTTGGGGAGCAAGGCCAGGATGTCTCTCTCAAATGCAGTCCTCAAAGTATGTCCCTGCCAAGCTCCCTACAGATTCGGAGGAGGTAAAGATGAGAGGAATTCCCTTAAAGAGGCGATTTGGAATCGGGGTGTATTCCCATAAGGGGAGGCATGTGTTTGCCCTCGAAGAGGGTGCCCAGCATCTGCTGACACTGAGCACGGGAAGTCGCGCGGCCCGTGGGGCTCATGGGCTGCTGTCATTAGGAGCCCCCCTTCCTTGCCTTTTCCTGGTCGAGTTCTGATTTCCTTTGCAGAACCAGCGTCTGCCCTCTCAGTCCATGGTTTCCAGGGGGTCGATCCTACTCATTGGCCCCAGGGCTGGGCATGTGACTCAGGGAGACCAATGCATGTTTCATCTGGTACCATTGGGAAAGAGCCCTTTTCCCTCAGAGGGTTGCTCAGTGTGTAGAAGAGAAACCTGAACCTCTGGGACCATGTGGTCTCTAGAAGGGGAGAGCTTGTCTGAGAGTGAAGCCAACACAGAGGAGAACAGAGACAAAAAATGGACAGACCTTCCCAACAACCCATTTTCTGAGCACCTGGATCAAGTCATACCTGACATCCTTTCTTGGTTTATTAAAAATATGTGAGCCAAGTTTTGTTTGTTTGTTTTTTACTCAGAGAGCCTGAATTAGATTTCTATAACAAGCAGTTAAAAGTGTTAGTACACTGCCCTGGCCGGTTTGGTTCAGTGGTTAGAGCGTCGGCCCGCGGACCAGAGAGTCCCGGTTCAATTCCCTCTGGGGGCATGTACCTCGGTTGCAGTTTGTCCCCGGCTCCGGCTGGGGTTGTGTGGGTGGCAACCACTCGATGTGTCTCTCTCACATCAATGTTTCTCTCTCTCTCTCCCTCTTTCTGAAGATAAATGCAAAAAAGGTGGGGGGCTAGTACACTGACATTTGCTAAACTATGTTTCTTTTTTCATTCATTCAACAAACATTTAATGAGTCCTTGCCATATGCTAAGCACCGTGCTAGGCAGAGACTCCAATGCCAGGGAGAGCCCCCTCGGGGTTGTACCCCAGGGGAAGAGACACCTGAAGCAATACTCAGTGCCGAGTGGCAGTCGCAATCACGACCGTCCGGACGGGCTGGTAAGCCTGCACCTAACTGCCTGAGCGTGGCAGCAACCACGAGAAGCGTCACGGAGCAGGTGGTAACTGAGCAGGGGAATCTCTCTCGAGTGGGGAAGAAGAAAAGGAGATTCCTGTGTAATTACCCAGGGTGGGCGGAACCCGAGCTCTGCGAAAGCGACAGTGTGCGGGCTGTGGCAGGGGAGAGGGGCCAGGTCCCGAGCCCTGCACCCTCCCCGCAGCCCACCTGTCTATTCCCAGCATGCCAATTTCATGCGCTCCAGGAGACCTCCTCCTCGGCCCCTCCCCGCACGGGGCAGGGGCACAGCAAGGGGCGGGGCATCTCAAGGTATCTGTGCCCTCTCTGCTTATGCTCTGCGGAAGCCGCCTACAGATGAACAAACATGTAGCGGAAGCAGGGTGTCCGCAGTCCACGTTCAGCAAACCCACAGAGAGAAATGCATGGCCACCCTGAAGGAGAAAATGCCCGCCTGGCATCTTTGTGAAGAGCCCGTGAAGTGGTTTCCAGGGCTGTGTGTCCCACTCTGCACCCTCAGGAGGCTCCCTGCTGCTGGCCTCTGGCTCTGGCCTCTGGGCTCCCCGGTGTCCAGAGAGCGGGGCCACCCTGTGGTCCAGCCGGGTCCTTGACTGTTGGGAATTTGCTCCCAAATCCCTCTGGGGACTTTCAGCCCCTCCCCCTCCAGGAAATCAATGTCCTTTGCCCTCCTTGCCCGTTCCTTCCTCCCTGCACCTCTGAACCCTCAGCACCTGCAAGAACGGGGTTCCCGGGCCGGCAGACAGGGGCTCCTCCCTGCCTTCCCTGCAAGGCCAGTGGGACACACCACAGACTGCCAGTCCCAGATGACGGGGTTACTGGGATGTGAAGTCCTAGAAACCTCCAGTGGAATCTGGGGCAGCTGATGGTCCAAAATTAACTTGTAATTAACGAACTGTTCGCTGTTCCTGACTCGGTGGGATGGTCAGCACCGCGTTCTAACACCGTCTAACTCTGCCAGGCCTCTCGCTCAGAGAGAGAGGGGGCTCCACGCAATTCTCAAAGCCTTTAAATGACATCGTGACCGATGAAGAAACCCTTTAATAACACTGTGTGCCAGTTTCAAGTAATACACGAAACAGTACGAAGCGCCTCATTCAGTCCTCCAGATGGACTTTAATCTGTCTCTGTGCTGTTGCTGGGACCGTGTAAACGTCCAGTAGAGCCCTCCTCAGTCTGTCCTCCTCAGTCTGTCGTCTTCCTCAGTCTGTCTTCCTCTTTTGTGTGTAGGCCCTTGGAGGGCAGGGTTCAGGTCTTGTTCATCTTCATTTTTCTGCTTGACCTTGGCACATGGCTGGTGCTAAGCCCTACCGGCTCCTGCCTTTGCCCTCCTCCCCGTCCTCTGCTGCAGGCCCTGGGCCCCACCCACGGGCCTGGCCCACCCTGGGCTCTGGAAGCAGAATAAAGTCCCTTAGAACACCAGCTCCGTCAGCTCATTGTCTTACTCTCGGCTTTACCCCAGGGTCAGCAACGTGCCGGCCACCTGCTAAACTCCCAGCAAGTGTTCGGGAGTGACTGGATGAAGGATGGTATGGTTGCTATGAGAACCAATGTCTCCCCTTCTGTTCGAATGTTCTTGGCTGAGCTTACAGTATTTTTAACCCTCTGCACCCCAGCCACCCGCTGGGCCAGCGCTGCCTGTCCACCTACCAGAGCATTGTTAGCTCTGCCCCTTGGGCATCTCACTGCCTGGGGGTCTCACTGCCTGGCCACCTCCTGCCACCCAGCTTCTTCTAGCACCTGCACTGTTGCCTGTCTGCTTGGCCTCTTTCCTTCTGCAGACGTTCTGTTTACCGCCCCAGGCAGACCCTCCGGTGCCTGCCCAGCCCTCCCAGCAGAGCCTCCGCCCCTGGCTCTGGACTGTCCTGGTCAGGGGTTTCCTGCAAGTTTCCCAGCACATCCACGGGACTCTGTAAATGCAGATGGACTGAATCTATTGCTGGGCCTCTCTTCCACCATCAGCTGACTCGGGAAAATGTCATTATCTTTGCAGAGCTGAGATCTGGTGCCCTTAACCAACCAGGAATGCCCCAGGCTCTGTGGGGCACTACCTGCCCCCCCAAGTGGGTGTCAGAGTTGCTCGGTGTGCATTCCTGTCTTATCTAGATCACCCAGAGAGCTTGCAGATTGCTTGGTCCTGGAGCCCTACAGTGCGACCTGATGAAGTCAGCCCACCAGACTTGCTCTAGGAAAGACGTGGGTGGACCGAGATCATCGGGATGGACCGGTCAGTGACTGGTCTTTTCATTGTCTGTCAACACAGTTAGAATCCAGGAGGCCAGGAGCAGTGTGAATGGGCCTATGAACATGGGATGGGGCATGTTTGTCTAGTTAGAGATTCAAGTTTACCATGAACTACCTGTTTCACTGGCATTCACACTATGTTGCTGAAGGGGCCGCCCTCAGGCGGCTGAATCCCATGAGGAACTGCTTTGCCGGTGGGACTCCAGGAAACCAGACAGAAGAGGGTGGAGGTGGGGGGCTGGGGGCTGGGGCGCGTGCTTAGGGGGTTGACAGGTACTCAGTACCAGTAACTGACTGTGTGGAGGACTCACCCAAGTCCCTCCCCACAGACAGGGGGCGCCAGGTCTCCACTCCTGTGCAGATGTCAGCGGGAGTTTTTGCCTCAGAGGAGCAGAGCTGGGGTGTTGGCCGCTACCTGTTGGGAGGCACCCAGAAAAAGCATCCCTGCAGGGGGGCCCTGCCATCACCTGCCTTCGTTAGAACTGCAGGAAAGAGACGTCACCCCGGGTTGCTCTGGGGGCTCCTTTCCCATCAGCAGCGCCTTCTCAGGAGTGGTAACCGAGCCGCACGCTCTCTTCCAGGTGAGTTCCCACGAACCGCCGACGGGGACGGAGCGCCCAGGCCGCTGGGACAAGAATGGCACGGCCTCCTGGGCACAGCCTGCTCTGCTCAGCACGCTGGGCGTCTTGGCACCGGCCACGTCGCCCGGGGCCCGGCAGCACTCTGATTTTCACCAAGGAGGGCGCCGTTCGGAAGTGTGGCTGTCCCGTGGCCCTGTGGGACTGTGACTACAGTCTGGCCAGCCTCCTGTGCAGCTGCCGAGCGGCCCTGCCTGTCGCCGGGAGCCAGCCAGCTACAGTGGCCATCTGACCGTCTGGTTCGCGGACTCCTCCGCCCTGGGCCTCCTGCTGAACTTCATGCTGGTCCGGGACCTGAAGCTGTCCCTGTGCAGGGCCAGCCCTCTGCCCACTGAGTACCTGGCCGTCCGTGGCCTGGAGAGGCTCCGCATCCACACCGAGGCCACGCGTCCCGACCAGAGCCTGCTCCTCCACAGCGCGCCTGGGGAGAGGCCCACGCGGCCCGCAGGCTGGCAGCCCTGCGCCGACGTCTCCTTCCTAGACATGGCCCTTTTCCACGGGGACTGTCCCTAAGGCTGTACAGTGTGGAAAATGTTGACAACATTGCCGGTCACTTCCCCTACTTTTCCCACTTTGGAACCTTCCCAAGTCTAAGCAACAAAAGCTACGTTGTCACATTCATTTACTAACGCGTCAGTGTCCAGCCCCCGGGAACTCTGGCCCACTCTGGTGATTAGAAGGAGGGATCTGGGGACAGGTCAGGGGCATCTCTACCCACAGCCCCGTCTCCCCTCACAGCAAGGCCCTCTCTGCCCGCTCCCTGCCCAACCACCACAGGAGCTGTTTTGAAAAACAAAATGAAAGGAAACCAAAACCCAAGTTGGTTCCGTTGAGAAACATGTCTCGAGGGCCAGCTGCTCCTGCGGATCTGTGGAGTCCTGTTAGACAGGATATGGAGCGAGCATCGCCCCAGGGACTGTGGGGCTCTGCAAGGGAATGCCCCCAGGAAATGCATCTCCCTTCAAAGCACTGCCTGCCTCGCTCTCTCTCCGGGGCTGGCACTTTCTCCTAAGCAGAGTGATGGGCTGCAGGGGCTGCAGAGCTGGGAGCCCCACAAAGCGCCCAGGTTCCCTTACGCTGATCTTTCCCGAACTCCCTGCTACGAAGCAGCATTGGGAAAGGGGAGTTTGGTGAGTGTATAGGGGAGGGGGAGGTCTGGGGAGGGTGGGGACTTAGGGCCAAACGAGGGCACCAGGGTTCAGAGGAGGGAATGAAGCGAAAACTGGGGGACACAAAACCGATTGCACAGAACTCCAACTTTGCTGGGCGCTGGGCAAGCTGTGCTGGGCTAGCCCTTCCCTCTCGGTTCCTTCTGTCTTTGCTCCCGTTGTCCCATCCTACCTCCCGTCTCCCCCGTCTCCCCCCCACCCCCACCCCCCGGCTCCAGAACCAGAATTTGGATGGACACGAGTAGAACCATGTTTCACTGCACTGGGGCAAGTCTGGGAATCTGACCATCACTTACATCATTCCGGTGGGCAAGATGCTCCTACGACCAACAGATAGTTCAAAGAACTTTAAGGGCGCAGTCCACTGGCGGTTTAAGACTGGAAAGTTCAGACACCCCGTATGACGTGGTCAGCACAAAAAGGTTTTGTGTGTGTTGGTACGAGGAACCAAAGCAACATTTTAAACATTAAACCGACTCATCCTTGCACAAAGAACATTCCTCCTCACAGAGACCCAGCTCACCGTCAGAATGGCCGGAATATGAAGAATCCACGCGATCAGGGTGGAAAGGCCTAGACTCCGAGCGCAGATAAGTGAAACATGACTGCACTCACGACACCATAATAGAGTGGTTATATTAGGAAATAAGAGGATGTCTTGGGGTCGATGACTTTATAAGGATTATTTTAGGCTGATTATTTTCTTTATTGATTTTAGAGAGAGATAGAAACATTGGTGAGAGAGAACATCAACTGACTGCCTCCTGCACGCCCCCCATGGGGATCGGGCCCACAACCTGGGCATGTGCCCTGACTGGGAATCAAACCAGCGACCTCTTGGTGCAGGATCGACGCTCAACCACTGAGCCACACTGGCTGGGCGGGGTTGATAACTTTAGATCACATTCACCACATTGTTCTCTTAATTTTAACATGGTATAACTGAAATAACCCGAAATGTCTACGTTTGCTTAATTGGTGGGGGATTTGGCCATTCAGGCTAATTAGCGTGAGTCTATAATGTCAGTGTTTAAATTAGGCCACAACTAAGACCAAGTATAAATTTTAATAGAAAAATGTAAATGACCTCATTACAACATTATACTTGAGAGATAAGATCAAAGTCATAGAAAAAGACAAAGGAGGAAAGAGCAAAGGCAGGCAAGAAGCATATCAAAGGTTAATAATACATATATTTACTGTCATTAGTTCCTGGAAATGTGAAAAATTGAATTATAATGGATTTTTACTAATCAAGTAAAAATAAAATAAAGTTACTGATGACATAAAGTTGAATGATGTTAGAAATTCTGAATGTCTTAATGTGCCTGTCTCCCCTTTGGTGGCTTTTAATAGTTTCCGAACCCTTTAACGATTTAAGTGATTCTTCTAAGAAATAACTGGGTCAATAGGACTTAGGTCAATGGAAGAGGGAAGGTAACGTGTTAGAAATGAAGCTGGAGGCTGCAGGATTTCTGCACTGAAAACGTGGGTCAGGTCGCCCTGACAGAGGATGAACAAAGACTAGAGAAAATCCACAGCACATGCCTGGTGGGAGGGGATGGCATTTGGGGCTCAGCCTTGGAGCTGGGGGGACACCAGGCAGGCATGGGGATGGTGGCAAGCTGAAGGGGCCATACAATGCGGCCAGATCCAACCCTTCAAGAGAGTTAGGAACTCCAGGTTTTACATGAAATCTCACAATTTGTCGATGTTGGCACACTATTCTGCTTTTGTTTCTTGCTTTCAATAACACTGTGTGGCTCACACCAACTATGGCAGAGGTCCCCCCACGAAGCCTGGGCTGCTGTTTGCCACCTCGGATTAGTGGCGTGCTGGTAGAAGTTTAACCACTAGCTCTGCAATAAAAAGGCTGGTAAGTAGGTAGGTAGGTAGGTAGACAGACAGACACTCATGTGTTTATTAAATTTAACTGATATAAAGGATGTGTAGCAACCATTTACAAATGATAACAAAATATAGAGTACTCTTCATTACAAACTCCATGCACACAATTCTCAAGAATGCTTTTGTTTATTTTTGACAAACTCGTATCCAAAGCCACCCTTCCCTTGCAGCTGATGAACTCGAGAAGTTCTGCACGAACATCAGTGGATACTTTCACTTACGTGAGGAGTGAGAGGAACTCAAACAGCGAAGACCAACGTGAGAACATAACTTGTTAGTCGATGACATAAGCAACTTCTCTGCTGAATCAAATACGCGTTTTCCTTGTCTTATTCCTTCCAAGACCCCCACCCTTCACCCCAGCCCTCCTCACTCTAGGTTCTGCAACAAAATCGAACCATACAGAAATGATTCGAGTACTATGTCTCAAGTCTCCCGAGAGGTAGCATACCTAGATGCATTGGAGATCATTCCAGAGGCCTAGGAGTTAACTTATGACGTACGGTGGATGCCTGAGAGCCCTGAGGGTTCTCTCAGGGGCCCCCAGTTCTGCAGGTGGTGATGCGGGAGTCAGACTAGCCCTCCACCTCCAGCCAAGCTCCCCCCAGGGTCCTGCCTACAGGAAGCGGCCCTGCACGTCCTCCGTCCTGCTGGCTGGGGCTGGACTGCAGCAGAGCGCCTTCACCCTGGGCGGGGGTAGCACGAGCAACCACAGGGGACCCAGACTTGGGTTTTTTTCTTCCCTAATCAATTGGTCCTAGGAAATTCTTCAAGATGCCGTAGGTGCAGTTCGAGGCTCAGGCAGAGTAAGTGACAGCGAGAGAGAGTGACACAGCGGTACTCGAAGTCCTACAGTTACAGAGCTTCCTCCAGCCCCCACCGCCTCACTGCCAGCAGGAGGGTGTGCCCGGCCCCCTTAACGAGGAACAGGAAGCAAAGCCCCTCCCCAGACAAAGCTGTGGCTGAGGAGTTATCAACCGGCACACGGTAGTAACGCAGATAATACTAACGTTACTACAGAATTAAAATCACTCTTGGCTATTCTGTAAGAATCCCTTGGTCCCAGTGTCCTCTGGTTCTAACACATGGAACCCCCTTGAACTCCTGGAAGCAAACACACACACACACGCAGCAGAGCTAGGATTCTGGGGTATCCTGGGCAGACAGGGGCACAGTCCTGACTCAGGAAGCCTCGGGAGCAAGCACCGGGAAGGGAGGAGGGCCCACAGCTCCTCTGGCCTCTCCTGCTTCATTCTTCTCTCCCGCTACAGACTGGTTTTCTCGGCTCCTGAACCGACATGAAAATTTATGGCTTTCCTTGGGCTCTTGAGTTCACGGCCACTCCAGCCACAAGCAGGGACGCGTCTCTGTTTCAAGTGCAAAATCTCGGGAGAAGCAGATTGGACATCTTGATCAGGTGCCATCCTTTGCCCCCTCCGAGCAGTAACGAGGCTTCCGGCCTCCTCCTCACCACAGGAGGCACTTCCCCAAGGCGGAGGGGAGGGATCTACTGCTGCTTCAAAAATTAATCTGCTGAGTAATTTACAGCAAACGTACCTCGATTCTGTTTGGGGAATAAAGGGATGCAAGCTGTAGAAAATGTTAATTTATATCAACATAGGGTAAAACTTCTATCACTGATTAAACAAACAGATATTGTTAAACATGACTCAGCCAACACATCTGTACTGCCCACTGTGACAGCCAGGCTACTGCAGGTGCTGTGGACACGCAGTGAACAGCTCGTCCCCGCGGAGCTTAGCTTGGACCCGAGTTCAAGTAGGACTGCCTTCAGCAAGGCAAGCTTGAACATTTTAAACAAGATTTATCAACTTTTTTCCAGAATAGTATTACTGAGTTAGAGATATAGAAAGAAAAGAAACATCCTAGAGCAGGGATTCCTGGACTATCAGATTCCACCTGCCAAACATTTTTAGATAAAATGAAAAATGAAGGAAGACTCAGCTTGCACCGCTTTGTAGTTTGCCGAATCAGGGCGTCCAAACAAGCAAGCACACTCTCATCACTATTTCATAGAAGGCAAGATATTTCAGTATCTCTGTGCGGAAAGAGAAAGACAATCTCAGAATAAAGGGCTATTTTTCCCCAAAGTAAGGACATCTGGCTGCTCTGCAGGGACAGGCTGTCCTCACGCTGAGCACTTGGCAGCCGACTAGGGAAAAGTTTCCTCGGGTTCGGAGACCTGCATTTGGTCACCACCGCTGCAGAGCCCAGTCTGACACTGACCCGGCAGACAAAACAAAACTGATTTGCCCATTTCGTCGGAGTTTATGGGTCAATTAGTCCACGCAAAGTCATCATTTGGTGAAGAGAAAACTAAGAGTTATTGCTTGGAAAGATGACTTTAAAAAAAGAACTGAATCAATTTACTGATTCAAACACAATGGTGGATGCAACAATTGTCTGTAAACAATCCATCTTCCCAGAATATTAAAGACACTCCACTGCTAATGAAATGGTGATGACATGCTGTATGCAAAAACCAAATCAGCCAGCTTGATACTTAAAGAACAGAAGGGTTTTATAAAATAATTTCTGATAATATACTGCTGACAGGCAATTAAAGCAACTATTCAGTTTCAGGAATTTGACTTCCACAAGGTCGATGACCTTTAGAAGGACCTTTGACTTGCTTGGGCAGGAAGATAACTTTTAAGTGTTTAACTTTGCCTTTTAATTATTGAATATGTCGGCTGTCAAAGTCAAAGTTATAAATACATTTGTTGTCTTTTAACATCTTGGCTCACTTTAAAATGCAAGTATTTGGCCTGGCTGGTTTGGCTCAGCGGTTAGGGACGTCAGCCGCAGACCAAAGGGTCTTGGGTTCAATTCCTGGTCAAGGGCACATACGTGGGTTGCAGGTTTAATCCCTGGCCTTGGTCAGGGTCTTGTGGGAGGTAACCGATCACTACAACCAACTGATGTGTCTCTCACACATCAATGTTTCTCTCTCTCCCTCCCACTCTCTAAAAATCAATGGAAAAGTATCCTCGGGTGAGGATTAACAACAACAACAAAATAATAAAATAAAATAAAATGCAAGAGTTCTCCCCTCTAACCGTATTAAATGAATGATTTTACAGTGGAAGATCTTTTTTTGAAGTTTTAGGCCAAGATATTAACATAGTCTGCTCTGGACTATATCTGTTACCTTACCAGAATCATGTTACTGCTAATTTGTCTCTTGGCTCAGGTGTCTGGAGACTGACCAGGCACAATTTGAACCTTTGTGACAGGAACTGGAGTTCAGTTTCACCAACGAAACTCTCGGATCAGAACTTAAATCAATGCTGAACAGCCAGAACATAAGAACTTAGAGTAATTTGAACAGAATGGAAGCCAGGAATTATGCACTTTTCCTATTAACTGGTAGAAAATGTTAGAGGATGCACTTAGCCTCGATCATCTGTCCAGTGTCCAAAGGTGAGTCCTGGTGAGATCTCCAATCTAATCCAAGAAAACCAGAGAAGAGAGGCAGACGGGTAGGACACAGAAATTCTTAGTGGGCTTGGGATTGTCCCCTTCAACTTGGAACTTAAATCTCAAGTGAAACTGGTGTGGGCAAATAGGCACTCATATATATTTTGGTAGAAGCACAAAATGGCATAGCTTCTACAAAGAGCAACTGAGAAGTAGCAAAATTACAAATACTCCCACTTGGATCTAGCAGTTCCAGCTCTAGTTCACCCTACAGACGTGACCATTTTTTGGAAACTTTTATTGCAGCATTGATAATTACACCAAGACTGGAAATAACCGTGGTACTGATTTTTATGGGCCAGGTTACATCAATCATGGTACATAAACGTATGTACATACGGGATCACCATGCAGCTAGTGAAAGAGGAGCTGCCAGTCACTTTAGACAATCAAATGCACTATTTATACACTGTGTAAGAAGGTAACTCACAAAAATGGACACATCTGCTTTTATGATCGTAGAGTAGGAGCTCGAAACTCAACACTGCAACCAACTGGATGCCTTCTGGAGGCGCAGGGGCCTTTCTCACTGTGAGCGCCCTTTGTCGCCTTTGGAGTTTGACACGAGGAAATACATTCACGTGCCTGGGAGAAGGCCCCACGTGCGGTGATGCAGCAGGAAAGCCTCCGAGTTCGGCCTCGGGGTCCAGTCCCTGTTCCGGCCTGGCCGGTGAGGACTGTCACCTCTGGGACGCAGGTCCCGAAGGTGTCCTGACCACCCCACCCCAAGCCGATTTCCCTTCCGTCTGTCTGTGAAGCTGCTAGCACACCGGGCACCCTTTGGGGAACGCGGACAACCAGCTGCTCGTTGGATCGGGAAGAAGGGGGTAACACAGCGGGCCAGGTAACATCCGTCCAAACGGACGCCCGGGGTGTGGGCGCGCTGTGGCTGTGGCCAGTGATGGTGACCGCACCACACCCCAGCCCCAGTTCCGAGGACGCCGCGCGCCTGGACCCCACGTGGCCCGCCGCGCTCCGCGCCTCCTGCGACTCCTCCGGGCCCCGCCCCTTCCCCCAGTGCCCGGCGCTCGGCGGGAGGTCTTCTCGCGGGATTGCTGCCCGGTCACGGAGCGCACTCTTTCCTCCGATCTCTATGATCCTCATTGTCACCCGTCGAATAGCACCCGAGTTCCAGAGTTCCGTGCCAATAGTCCTCCACGCCGACAGAGGGCAGGGCAACAAGCCGACGTTCTCGCGAGAGGAGCGGCGTTCTCTTCGAGGACTGAGCGCGCGAGCGCACGCGCGTTCGGAGGTGCGCGGCAGCGCGACGGAAGAGGACCCGGCCGGGGCTCGGGAGAGCGCGCGTGCGCCGTCGCGAGCTCGGCGCTGCCGGGGCCGCCGTGCGGGAGCGGGTGGGAGGCCGCCGTGCGGGCCGCGGGGATGTTCCGAAAGGCCCGGCGAGTGAACGTGCGCAAGCGGAATGACTCGGAGGAGGAGGAGCGAGAGCGCGATGAGGAGCAGGAGCCGCCGCCGTTGCTGCCGCCGCCGGGCGCTGGCGAAGAGCCGGGCTCCGGCGGCGGCGACAGGGCCCCCGGGGGGGAGGCGCTGCTGGGCCCGGGGCTGCCGCCGCCGTCTGCGCTGACCGCGGGTGGGGCCGAGGCGGGGGGCTGCTTCCCGGGCGGCGCGGAACCCGGCAACGGGCTGAAGCCGCGCAAGAGGCCGCGCGAGAACAAAGAGGTGCCCCGGGCCAGCCTGCTGAGCTTCCAGGACGAGGAGGAAGGTAACGGCCGCGCGGGCCCCGCATCCCCGCGCCGAACCCCTGCCCCCGACCCGCTGCGCGTCTTCCCGCCTCCGGCCTGGGCTCCGGCCGGGACGCGATCCTGCGCCGCCACCAGCCTCTCCTTAAGCCTCGCGGGCCGAGGGCCGGGGTCCGGACGGCCGCCCGAGTTTTCCCGGTGCGAGTCCAGTGCCCGCTTTGCTGGCGGCGTGTTTCAGCGACACCTTGAACTCGGTCCCCTGGCCGCGCGTGGCACTGTCCCCGAGCCCAGTGCAGGTCACCCACGCCTCTTGGTGCTCTGTCCGGACATCCTTGACCCGGAGACCGGCTTTGTCAAAGCAGCCGTAGCACCGGGTCTGGGAACAGAAGCCAAGAGTTGAAGCCCCGGTTCTGAGTAATCTTGGCTCAGCCTCTTGCAATCGCTGAGCCTCAGTTTCCCCATAAAAGTAAAAAAAAAAGGGGGGGGTACGTCAGCCTTGGCACAGTGGAGAGAGAGGGAGTAACAGTGATTCGAGGCAGATTATCCATTCCGATGGGAGAGGCCAGGCTGCCGTGCGATTGTAGATTTTCTGGTTGTAAATGAGCCTTCAGTATTTTTGTGTGTTTATAGAACCCTTAAGTCTGTGTTACCAAATAAGAAAGGAAGACTTTGGGAAATCTCATTTGCATCTTGGTGTGCGGTGCTTTTATATAGATCCAGGAAGGGAGGCAGTTTTTCTTTGGCCTTTCTGCTATTATTTTGTTGAGGAGCAGGCCAGCCAGATTTTTGTTTTTGAAGATGCAAGGACTGTTTGGTCGTGTTTGTGTTTGACTCTGAAATGTTCAAGTCAAAGACGATGGAGACATCATCACATCATCACAACTTTTGAAAAGTGTTTTGTTTTCTTTTCAGCTGTGTTTTGAAATAACAGTATGTCAATTGGTGATGGATGGAGTCCTTAGACTTGACAGCTCTGTTAGGCAGCACCTTTTCCTTTTGGATATTTTGTTTCAGGTACCATGATACTTTGCTGACTGCTTTCACAACGACTTTTTTTCCCCTCCTGAAATAGTTGATTGGAGGAAGGCAATACCACATCGAAAAATTTTGTGCAGTTTACCTGTTTTATGCTTTTTAAAAAGTCTCCAATGCACATTACTGCAGATTAGTTTATGAAGTTGACTTGGGGTGTACGAGTATATATTTGAAAGAATTTGAAAAGCACTTAGGTCATGGAAAAGTTAGAGGGGAAGAGTGTCTGAAAATGGTTGCTACAGATTTTGTTTAATTTCTTTTTTAAGAAACTGAAGAAGTTTTCAAAGTGAAGAAATCAAGTTATAGCAAAAAGATAGTGAAATTACTTAAGAAAGAATATAAAGAAGATCTGGAAAAATCGAAGATTAAGACAGAATTCAACTCATCAGCTGACAGTAAGTACCAAACTAAGAGGAATCTTTTGAAATGTCAAACTGAGCTCTTTCTCAGACGGATTGAGTGGATGGGCTTGGGTCCAAATTGAGTGGTGATTCGGTTCTGTTGTTTCTAACACAATTGCAGTGTAAATGCATTTTTAAAAAGACAAAGTTTTTTTATGTTCCTACTGCAATGACTAAATCCTGTCCCAGTTTTCCTGCCAGTATTCAGACTGCTGTTGAGCAGAGGAGGTTTCCACTTAATCCTGAGGCATAGGTTTACCCTCTTACAGGGAGTGCTGTGCAAATTCCTGTATTTGTGTTTTAAAGAGACAGGCTCTCTGTGTCTTCGGTGGTATTTCTACACCTGGTTTAGTTCTTGGAGAACGTTTAGGAATGCCCCCCAGTTTAGTGTCGATTCCCCCTCCACCGCCTTGTCACCTACGTGGCTGAATCTCCTGTGTGAGGCCCCAGCCCACATTGTTCTCTCACAACCTGAGTTGAAATGTTTTAAGCACTTGTCTTTAGGAAAGGAGATTCATTATACTATGTTGTGGTCTGGGTTGTTCTCACGTAAATGCCCTGCGGAAATCTTTATTTTATGGAGGTGAAGACAATTATTATTTCCCAGTTTGTCAGCCACAGGCTTCATATGAAAAAGTATGTCACTGTATCTCAAATTTCCAATCTCATTTTGGAGACAACATCACTTAAATGTGTCATTGGATCCATTGTTTGGCAAAAATGTCCAATGACTTGTTCGAAGGATACCTTTTTTTAAGAGGCAGGGGGAGGAATGCTTCCTAGATAATGTAGAATTTGCAGCTGGATCTTTGATCATTTAACTCTGAAAGATAGGAGAGGGACGGTATGGGATTCTCAAAGGTGGAAGTGACCAGGCTGTTCTGGAAAAGCGCAAGTCCACCTGACAGGCCAGGGCATGTGATTTGTGGAGGGAGTAGGGGTGCGGGTGGAAGGTGCGCTGTTGACAGGTTTGAAGGATGTTGAGTGTCTGTAAGGGGTTTAGAGCTGCTGTGTTCACTGGCTTGCCAAGATGGTGACATGATAAATGCCTTTGACACCTTACCCTGGAATTAGTGTGCAGTATGGATTGGCACCAGGAGAGATTGGAGGCCTGGAGCACTTGAAACATAGGGTCAGCTTTGATCCATTACTAGTGGATCAGAAATCTCAGTTGAGGAAGACCGAGGCTTCCCGTCTCGCTGGGAAACTGTGGATGAGTTTTAAATGTTTGCTGTGGGTGTAAGAGAAGAAATGGAAAGAAAGCATTATTTGAGAAATGTTCCAAGGGAAGAATTGGCAGGTTTGATGTAATCATTAGCTATTGGATTTAAAAGAAATAGTTGAGCCCTGGCCAGGGTAGCTCAGTTGGTTGGAGCGTTGTCCCATACACCAAACAGTGGTGGGTTCGATTCCTGGTCAGGGCACATAGGGGAGGCACCCGACTGATGAAACATTAGTGTGTCTTTCTTTCCCTTTCTCTCTAAAAATTAATAAAATTAAAAAAGAAAAAGAAATAGTCGAATTTGAACTTCTGTGCCAGGTGACTGAGAGAAATTATGTATTACACAGAGAAATAGGGACGGCAGGTGGGAGGAGGGTTATTTTTGGAGGAACCGATTATCTGGGAGTCTAGGGAACTGCTTCATTTTTTCCAACAACTGTGGATGATGAAATAATACAAGAACAGTCAGGAAAAGTGAGACCTGAGAAAGGATCATTTACTGGTGGGTTTAGAAGTCTAAGTAGGTACAAGGTTTATGAAAACATTGTCTGTGACATCTTCCTTCCACTTGCATCAACTCTCACCAGATAACTCACTTAATGTCCTCCCCAAAGGTCGAATCTCTGTTACAGATCATCCTCATTACCCCTGAAATGATGGTGCTGTGAAGCTCTTTCAGTTGTCTGCTCGCAATCCTGAACCCTAACTGCCTCACCCCCCTTGGGTAGGGAGGGGTGCATTCGCTTCAAAACAAGGGTAGTGCTGACTTGGAAAACCTGTTGTCGTATTCCTGAAATAGTGAGTTCACTTGTAAACTGAATTTGACCAGTATAGCTAGTGAACAGTTGGAGATGTAGGTTAAGGTTTGGTGTTTATTGAGATGACAAAACCAAAGGACCAAAGACCTGTACCTGTAATAAGCATCAGGGACAGAAGTGGATGAACAGAAGAGACACAAGAATTGTAAAGGCTAAGGAGAAAAGACAGAACATTTTCAAGATGGTGGTGGTCCGTTGTATGAAGTAGTACCAGAAAGATCAAGAAAAGGAAGGACCAAGGAAGGACTTGGCAGGGTTGCTATGTTGTTTCTGGAGGAGGGCATCTGCAAGAGACCGGTCTGCCAGCCAAGCCCTGTGCCTGTTGGAAGAAGGAATGTTTTGCTACATTCTCAGCGATACTGTATAAAGTAGCGGCAGCCATTTGTTTGCAGGTGAACTTGGTTGGATTGGGAGAACACAAAGGCAATGGCCAGGGCTGGGCACACCGTCGGTGAGGAAGTGAAGTAGAAGGCAGCAGGCCTCCTCTGCTGCTTCTGGAAGTTGGGCAGAGAGTAGAGGACAACAGCTAGACCCCTGGGACCAGGATCCTGTGTCTGAAGGCTGAAGAGGGGGAACCTGATCAAGGTCAAGGCAGTGAGAATATTTGTGAGTGGATGTTTTCTGAAGTGCTAAGAGTAAAATTGAGGGTGCAAAAAGAGTGTAGAAAAAGGTCATTTAACATCTCTGTATAAAGACGTCTGGAAGCATAATATCTGACCATTAACACAGTCAGCTGTCACTGTTTTGGACTAGTACTTGCTCGATCACAAGCAAATACCTGTGCAGTTAAAATCTGCAGAAATCGTCATCTGAGCACATCTGATCTGGTTGACCTTTCGCAGTTCTGTTTTGTCTGTTAAAAGCGTTGATTTAGTGTGGGTTGAGAGCAGAAGGAAATGGTCTTTTTTGACTTAACCATATACACCTGATAAAGTGATTTTAAATCTTATAGCCTCAGAATGCACTTCAGAAGAGAGTCTATGGTTAATGAGGTAGGATAGTAACTAGAAAAAATCAAGGAGCCTAAAACAGAATGATCTAACTCTTCTCAGTGAAGTGAAGGGGTGGTGGGCAGGGAGTATTTTCCCCGGGACTCTTGTTTAGGGGAGAGAATATGGTTTGAGAAGAATAGGGACTTCTGAAGCATTTCTGGGAAGGGAACGTGCTGGGAAAGAACAACAGGATATCTTCCATATTTAGAAAATTTTGGTTTTACTCTTTGATTACATTTATTGTACCTGTCATGTGCATTGCCAGGTTCAAGTGCTTCAAGGTGGAAAAATCTGGGTTTTCTTAATTTTGCCTGGGACGGAGGATGTAATAGCACTATTGAGTTACAAGCAGAGGAAGCCACTTGGTGGAAAGCAAACAACTGTAGGCTTTCGAAACCCAGTGTCAGGAGAGCAGTCCTGAGACTGGCCGGAGGAGGAGTGGCCTGGGAACTGGAACTGACAACAGAGAGCACTCTCGTCCCCCCACGTGGCAGAGTCCGGCCACTCCGCAGCTCCCTTCCTGGTCCACACGGGGTTGGTCTCAGTGCCACTGGCCTGTGACTTGTCTCTCTGTCCCAGTCCTAGATCCCCAGAAAGAGAATCAGGTTACAGATGCACTCTTAAATACTTAGTCGTGGCATGGGTCAAGGTTCCAGAGTGTACATGTGACTTGGGTCTCGCTCTTCCAGATGATGGGTGACAGACAGGTATGAACTAAGAAGATATCCCCCAAACCATTCACCAGAGAATTTATCTGGTCCATAAACTTCGTTCTTGATAAAAGCTGCCTGGAATGGGCTTAGAGTTGAATGAAATACCGACATATAAAATGAAATCGCTTCAGAGAGCTACAGACAGTTACCTATGGGAGTTTAGAGGAAGAAACAGTTAATTTTGATAAATTAGTAAAATTCTGATAAAAATAACTGAAGATGGGATTGAGCAGGACTTCAAAGCAGTCGTGTGTCCCTGTGTCCCCTATATTATTTTTAGCTCTCAATTATTTCTATTGTGATTTTTCATTTTCATGCCTCAGTAGTTTGAGGCTTTTATGAACAATTAAAATAGTTGAAACTTGAATGAATTGAGCCCATAATCAAATAAAAAGTCTCTCCTTAATATATGGGTTTTTGTTTTTAAAGCATTTTACTTTTTTCAAAATGTAGGTGAACCACCTTTGGACAAAGCAGGACATGTCAAGGACACCGGTCAGGAAGACGGAGTGGTTATTAGTGAGCATGGTGAAGATGAGATGGACGTGGAGAGTGAGAAGGAGGAAGAAAAGCCAAAGGCTGGTGGAGCTTTTTCTAACGCGTTGTCATCTTTGAATGTTCTCCGTCCAGGTGTGTCCTCACCCAGGGAGTGGACCCATGCGGTCATTGCCAAGGAAGGGTTAGTTAAGTGTGTTTCTTAGGACAGGCATCCTTGTTTGAAGCCAGGGTGTGTCCTTTTGCAAGTGTAACAAGTGAGGGAACTAGACACTGCCGACAGGGACCTTGTCAGACAGGCCATGTGTGGTCCAAGCAAACGTGGGGCACATGGATAAATGGCACTACGTACGGTCTTTTTATGTATTTCAGATTAACGTTTAAACTCCACTAGAACTGCTCCTAAGAGTAAAACTAACTGCTATTAGTTTTCTTCCACTTTTTTCATGTTTTATGTTTCTATAGGAAATAGTTTGCAAATTTCTTCACTGTTTAATTTACAGCTTTTGAATAATTAAGTGTTTAATAGCCAAATTTAAATTATGAAAAGGTGCTTAACTCATTCATATTTATAAAATTTAAAAATGCTTACTCTGGTGAAATTATAAAAAATCATTTATATGGGTCTAGTAGTCTAATTGGTACAGTATGTAAGCCATCGGGCAATGATTTCAAATGTTCTTGTCCTGTAATTCCATATCTAGAAATTTATCCCAAGGAAATAATATTTTCATTGCAATTTTATTTGCAATGAGCAGAATTTGGAAACAGTGGGTAGCCGGAGAGAAAATGGCTTAGTAACTAAGGTGCATTGACATGAAAGGATGTTACATAGCTATTAAAATAACAATCTGACAAGTAGCAAGGCAATTTTTACTGTAGGTAAAAAGTCAATCAATGTAATTGTAGTAGCTGATGCCTTATCTGTTAAGAAGTTGTTACAGCCCTGGCCGGTTTGGCTCAGCGGTTAGAGCGTCGGCCTGCGGTCCAGAGAGACTCAGGTTCGGTTCCCGCTAAGGGCACGTACCTTGGTTGCAATTTGTCCCTGGCTCCATTTGGTTGTGCGGGTGGCAGCCACTCGACGTGTCCCATTCATGTCGATGTTTCTCCCTCTCCCTCCCCCTTCCCTCCTCCTCCCCCTCCCCCTCCTTCTATCTGAACAAAAAATGGAAAAATGTCTTCGGATGAGGATAAAAAAAAAAGTTGTTACGCCATTAAAAATTATTTTTATGCAAAACAAAAACATGGAAGAAAACTTATGTTTTATTTAGCATGAAGAAAAATTAGGTACTGAATTATATAGTCAGTATGTTCATAGGTGAACTGAAAACTATTTGCAAGAGAAATATGCTATAAATCTTAGTGTTCTTTGGGGTCGTGAGGTGTGGGCACCTTTTTAATTTTTATTTGTTTTCTAGTTTAATAATATGATTGTATTCCTTTTGTTTCACTTAAAGATGAAAAAGTTACAGTTAAAATAAAACTGCTTTTGTTTGACCACTCCCCCAAGTCCCCATATTGCCATTATATCTTAATTTTCGTTTCTTTAGTGACTGAGTTTCCATTTAAACGGCATTAAAGGTCAGTCCTCTGGGTTGCAGGCACAGTTTGGGAAGGGGTGCCAGCTGCTTACATCAGGACAGCATCCTGTGACAAGGCTATCTCGATCAGGTGGTTTCATCCTGCATGTCTTCAAGACAGTAGATTCTTCACACCCTGACGTTTGTAACCCTGTCCGCAGGAGAGATCCCAGACGCGGCCTTCATCCACGCCGCCAGGAAGAAGCGGCAGATGGCCCGGGAGCTGGGCGACTTCACTCCCCACGACAGCGAGCCTGGCAAGGGCCGCCTTGTCCGAGAAGACGAGCACGATGCCAGTGATGACGAGGACGACGATGAGAAACGCCGGATAGTGTTTTCTGTGAAGGAAAAGTCTCAGAGACAGAAGATTGCTGAGGAAATAGGTAACTTGATTGAAGAGGAGAGGAAGCCCATTATAATGCTATTAAAGCCCATTGCTATTAAATGGGATTTGATAGTGAAAATAAATGTCGACTGAAGAGTGCCTGTATTTAATTAATTTTGTTTAATGTTAGAGGACTGTTCTTGCTTGGGTTCAAGTGTCTTATTGGAATTTTTTGAAAACTCTAACTTGATGTTTGAGCACTTTACATGCATAAACTCGTATCGTCAGCTCAGCATTCTCAGGAAACCTTAGGTTTTGTTCTTCCCTTTGTTGAGTTGATGTCAGACTCAGATCAGGAAACTCATCCCAAGTTTTCACTGTTACGTTAATTCTGTCTTTGGCTTCAAGGGTTACTGTGTATCAGACAAGCAGAGTCGGGAGCATTGACTGAGATGGCGATCATAATAGACATGTTAGTAAGGTTGAATCAGTACCAGTAGTTGGCTTAGTTTTTGTGAAATGTTAGGATAGCATCTCTTCCCTTCCTGCTTTCATGGGATCGTTGACTCCTCTTGGCTGCTTCCGGCTGCAGGTATTGAGGGGAGCGATGACGATGCCTTAGTCACTGGGGAGCAAGACGAGGAGCTCAGCCGCTGGGAACAGGAGCAGATAAGGAAAGGAATTAACATCCCTCAGGTGAGAAGTAAAGAGTTCAACTTCAAAATGTAAAAAGTAAATTTTTTAAAAAGTAAATAAAAAACCTTTTTTTTGTCAATTTTGTTAAAGTTAAAACATACTGCATATTGAATGGATCTTTGTTATTTACTCAAGTGACATAAAGGTATGTATTCAGTATGCTTTTAGAAGAAAGTGTATTCTGTTTTGTTCTTTGTAGTCAAATGAGGGAAGATTTTCTAGTTTCTTAGATCGGTGTTTCTCAAAGCGGTTTTTTGACCAGCAGCATCAAATATCAGAGAGCTTGTGATAAATGCAAATTCTTGCCTTCCGGAGACCTGAGGATTAGAAACTTAGGCCAGGGCCCAGCCTCTAGTCAACAAACCCCAGTGTGATTGTAAGCACTCGAGGAGTCTGAGAACCACTGTGTCAGTCAGATGTTTCTTTCCTGTAGAGCTCGCTTTTCTGACTTGAGAAATTATTTTGTAGGAGATGGGTTTCTCTTACTGTAGATGAAAAATGTCTTCCTAAATAGCAATAGTATTTGTTCTGTGAAAATAAGTAGTACGGTGGAAATGTTGCGTAAATGCAAACCTTCTGCTGCTAGTGTGTATATAGGGGGATGTCCTGGACGAGGGAGGGGGCTCAGATGCTCACGTCTGCTTGTCTGTTTCCTCTCTGACCGTGCAAGGCATTGTCTTCCTTGTGGGAAATGGTGGCCTTGGGTTGTCCCTGGTGTGCCTTCCGGCTCTCCTTCTGGAAACTACTAGAAATGAGTCCAGTGATCCTGTAAGAGTTACAGCAGTCATCCAGCCCTATTTTTAATTTTGAGTAACTGTAATTTATTTAAATTACACACTGTTTGGAAAATGGGTATAATTTTTGCTGTTAGGTGGTTGTTTTTAACCCTAAAGGCGTGATACTATTGTTTTCGTAGTTTTAGCTGCTAATTTTCACATATATCCCATTTCTTTTCTAGGTTCAAGCAAGCCAGCCCCCTGAAGTGAACATGTACTACCAGAACACTTACCCAGCAGTGCCTTACGGCTCGTCCTACGGCATTCCTTACAGCTACTCAGCCTACGGGTCATCTGATGGCAAATCTCAAAAACCAGATAACACAGCCCCTTTCAAAACTCCCAGTAATGAGATGACTCCCGTTACTATTGATTTGGTAAAGAAACAGCTTAAAGACAGGTAGGGCAGATCAGCCTCTTAAAGACCTGTCCTCTAGCTTTGTGTTCCTCAGGCGTCCTGTAGTCTGGGGTAGCAGACGCAGACTATCGGCAAAGAAGAGTCCCTGGCCCGTCCTCAGAAAAGCCAGACAGAAGATGACGTCATGCTCTGCTCTGCTACCTCCTGGATGACTTCTGTGGAAGCCTCGGAAGTTTGGAAATGCCGCTCCGTGATCTTGTTGAAGACAGCTCTGAGTCTGCACCTCCTGGGCTCTGAGAATGTAGTCAAGATCGGGGGGGGGGAAAGCAAAGCAGGGAAACTTTGGTTAGCCCACCAATGGTTTTAATGAAGTCTGTAAACTGCTACTTTTTTTTTGAGAGAAAAGCAGTACAGATGAAAAGATGCCACTCCAAGTATTTTTGTATTCTAATGGTGGAACTAAATGCATTATAATATTGCAAGAGTCCTGACAGCATAGATTTGGGGTGTAAATGTGTTATATTTATCCTTTTGTGTTCTTAAGGTTGGACTCCATGAAAGAAGTGCACAAAACAAATCGGCAGCAGCATGAGAAACATCTGCAAAGCCGCGTGGACTCCACCAGGGCCATCGAAAGATTAGAAGGGTCTTCTGGGGGTATTGGTGAACGGTATAAATTTTTGCAAGAAATGCGAGGGTATGTCCAAGACTTGCTTGAGTGTTTCAGTGAAAAGGTAAGAATGCAAAAATACTAATCTCTTTCAATAAGGCAAAGTTAGGGAGGTCTAAACGGCCTTATTCAGATCACTTCTGTATTGCTCAGAAATAATCCACTGAATTTGACTTTAGAAGTGATGAAAAGCCATGCTTTATTTTCTTCACTTCATTAGTGGTGTTGTATCTTGGCAAATTTACTGCCTTTGTGGAACACATAAAAGATAACTCAGCGTGTTTAGATAAGAGTGGCAAGTCCTACCTTCATATAATGGTAGATGGTTGGCCTGCCCTGGGTCATTAGGACAGAAGGGCTCAGCTGATGGAATTTTCTTTTTATGGTTCAGGTCTCAACTTACCTTTAAACTGTTTGTACAGGTAATTCCAAATCATTAATTTGCAAAATTTTATTTATTTTTTTACCCTAAAGTTGCTCACCAATGCTGCTAATAGTTTTCATCTAAGTAAACCTGTGCTTCATCCATTTCAGAAACCATTCATGGCCATAGTTTCTTCTAAGGTCTCGTTTCTTCCAGGTTCTTTTTTTTAGATTCAATTTTTTAAGTATAGATTCAGTTTTTTAAGTATGATTTATATTTTTATAATTCGCTGCATAGAAAAACCCCCTTTTTCTCAAACCACTTCTTAATTGATTTTTTTGGTCTGTAAGATAAGTGTTATTGTTGATGGATTGGTTTAGAAGCATTTGTGGATTTGCAGCCTTGTCTTTACAATAAGTTAAAGTGGTGGTGCTTTGAATAGTCTGTCTCTAAACTTCCAGTGATAAGGATTAGAAGGCATGTTTTTCCTTGTTCTTGGCTCTGTGGAGTGGCATAGACTCTATAAGCATATGGTATGTTTAAATGAGTATTTTAACTGTCATTATCTCTGCTGATTACTTCAATACCCTAAAGCCAAAGACTGGCAAAGAGCCCTGCCAGGCTGTCTTCCTGACGGGTGACGGGTTCCAGCCAGGCCGCGGTCAGGTCTGGGCTGCGGCAGCACTCACCAGGTCCTCTGCAGGGTTTACCTGGTTCTTGTTCTTAGCCTCCTGCTTTCCGGAGAAGCAGCTACAGCTGAGCTGCCATATGCCCCTTGTGGCAGGCAGATCAGGGCTTAGGGTGGTGAAGCACATGGGGCGGGGGGAGCAGGTTTGCCGCTGTGCAGGCTGGTGCTGGTGGTTGTCTCTCCTACTGATACAGCCCTTTGACCCCAGCGGGCGTGGCAGGGGCTGTGTAATAGCCTTTGTGACCAGGGCAAGGGTCTTTCCCTTACACCATGCTTGTCAGCAAGGTTTGTCCCAGGGAGCTTTCCCTTGAAGTGTTCTCAGCACTTTCTCTGAAACTTACTCCAGTAAACTTACATGCTCCTCATTGCAAACTGGACTCTTAAAAACATTGACAGTAATAGGATCAACTAGATTCGCAATGCTTGCATGAAGGAAACTACTAGGATGTCTAGTTCATGTAGTTTTCAATTCCATATTCATTTTATAACCAGCTTTGTAAATAATTAGCAGTGTGCTTTATCTCTGCTGGGCCACTGTTCCTGGAGAATCCGCTTCAGGCGTGCGTGTTTCTGAGTCCCCTAGAGGCCTGTTCGGAGCAGCTCTCACCCTTATATATTATACAGTGGCTATATTTTAACTGAAAGAGGTAGATAATTCCTGCTTTTAAAAAATATATATTTTTTTTATTGATTTTTTCTTTTTTTTAGGAAGGGAGAGATAGAAACAAATGAGAGAGAGAGAGAAACATCAATTGGCTGCCTCCTACACGCCCCCTACTGGGGATCAAGCCTGAAACCTGGGCATGTGCCCTGACCTGAAATCCAACCAGGAACCCTCAGTCCATGGGGCAGCACCCACTGAGCCACACCAGCTTGGTGATAATTCCTAATTTTAAAGATGAGTATTTTATTTCATTTTGACACATTCATACACATTCAATTTTAAGAGACTCTTGAGTGAGTACAGTCATAAATTGTCATCTGGGAAATATTTAGGAACAGTTGGTTTGAGTGTTCGTTTTAGTTATATTATCAAAATATTGTTTTGGCGTAAGGACCATAAAAAGATAAACATTCCTCCCCCCACCCCACCCTTTTGTTAAAAAAGTTTAAGTGGTTTTGAACTTAGATTTTTAATTATTTGCAGATCATTTTAACTTCCCATTTTTCTGTTTCCCTGTAGTCATCTTCTTTCTTGTGCTCTTCACTTTATGTTGGGTCTTGAAATAATAGCCAGTAATAACAGTGTTGAGTTTGGAGAGCGTAAAGAAATTGTTCATGGTACATACTTTCTTGAGATCAGTCAACATTGTTAAGAAATATAAGTGAAAAAGTATTTTAGGGCTTTTATTCTCAGTAGACTTTTCTCTGGGCCTTGTTAAAGGCCTTCCTATGATCTGACAGGAAAATTACATTATCAACAATTTAATAACTAAATTTTAGTAATTAAATTCTGTCCAGTGTAACCTTAGGTGGAGGGATGGTCACAGTCTTCATACCAAAGGAATGCACTTTAGCCAGACAGTGCATCAGCCCTGCATGGTTTAAAACAGGGAGTGGAAGTCAGTGATACTATAGTGATGGCTTAAAAAGTCAATGTAGTAAATTTTAAAGATAGTCTCTGGGTTCAGCTGTCAAAGATAATCAGTGCAGGTTTGGAGACATTGTTGCCCATAGTGTGGCATATTAAAGAATAGAATAGCTCCATCATGTGGACCTCTCTGAACATTGCTGCTTTTGCAATGGGATCATGCAGGTGTGTGGTTGCTTTTATTATAGACATCTTTGTATTCCACCTGCCTTCTTTATTTTCCATTTGCAGTCTGTTCAGTTCAGGAAGCTGCTGTAGCAGTTGGTGCCAGTGTTCCCAAACTCTAAATAATGTGTTTCTCATTTGCACTAACCACCAGGAAGCTAGAATTTCTGGTTTCCTCAGGTATGTGTAGTGGTCGTTAGTGTTTTGTGAAGGTTTCGTAACATTTGGTTTTAACATAAAGGTTATAAATAGAACATTTTCTGGGGTTTTTTTGTTTTTGTTTTTTAAAGATTTTTTTATTGGTATTTAGAGAGAGAGAGAGGATGGGAGAGGGTGAGAGAGAGAGAGAAACCGATGTGAGAGAAACATTGATTGGCTGCCTCTTGCACACTTCCCACTGGGGATCAAGCCTGCAGCCCAGCTTGTGCCCTGACCGGGAATTGAGCCTTTCAATGCACGGGACGGTGCCCAACCAACCAAGTCACACCGGCCAGGGCTGCTTTTTTCTTTTTAAGTTAGGTTTTGTTTTGTAAGCTTTTGTATTCTATGTGACCTACATGAATGGTTAGCCATGATAGTAACCTGGAAAGACAGTGACTTTGTAAAATAACAATTCATGTGAAGACTTTTATTTTATTACACAATATGGAAGCATTTAAACATTTGATGAGAAGAGCTTTCTGAGTTTGATTTCAGACAAATTAATAATAGCTAGAAATTTTATTTGCCTCATTTGTGAATGAATATAGCTAACATTTAAAATATGTAATAAAGTTGTGAAATAGTAAGGTCTATAAGAGTGGCAGAGCAACCTAAGTGTCTAAAATTGGACAGCTAGTAGACTCTTGTTCTTACCTACTCACAGAACCCGTTACGTTGCAGTTTCTGGTATCACAGGGATAATGGTTTATTGTAAACGATGAAACAGCAAGACAGGTCATAGTGCTGGCAGGGTAAAACTGGAAGTTAAAAGGCTGCCAAGTACGTTATTCTAAAATAGAGGCAAACTTTTGACATTTCTTTACTAACATTGAGGTGTAGAGTTTCCTAACCAAACTTTTGCTCCAGTAACTAGGCACCGGACATTATAGCTCTATCTGGATTAAAAGAAGTGATGTTTCTTAAACATCATGTGACTGAATTGCTATTCATGTCCCATTGGGAATTCATGATTATTTTGTCCATAGAGGGTACTTTTTCAGAAACCCGGAAATAGTATGGAACCCTCAAATAAATATGCAGCTGAGGAGTTTGGTGTTACGGAGTGCGTTGTATTTCCACAGGTGCCACTGATTAATGAACTTGAATCAGCAATACATCAGCTGTACAAACAGCGAGCTTCCCGCCTTGTCCAAAGACGACAAGATGATATTAAAGATGAATCTTCGGAGTTTTCAAGCCATTCAAGTCAGTCCATCTTGAAGGTTTTTATTATTCATTAAACAACCTTGTTTACTTAGTGCAGCCTAATTGAAAATTAGAGATCTCAGCATCTTTTTTTTTTTTTTAAATAAGTGAATCCCCTTGTTCTTGTGTTAGATAGATCTAAAAATTATAACAGCATGTGCGCATGCATGTACTTGGGTTGTATTTAAGAAAATGTAGCTTCACAAAGGAGCTCGAAAACATGTACTATTTGCTGTCAGTCTTATTCTTCTTCGGACATATTTTTTCATTCTTTAGAATTAGCTAAGACATTACAGTATTTTATCTTAAAACCACTATCTGTCTGGCTCAAATGGATTTTGTGCCCCATTTTCATCCTGTTGACGATACCAGTGCAGATGCTGATGCTGACACAGTGAGGTCTGAGTTTGGGGGCGGGCATTTGGGGGCAGAGGAGTTTTATGACATAAGTGAGTTTTGAGCTTCACCCCTTGGATAAAGCAGTTTTTTTTTTTTTTTAATTTAAATACTGTGTTTTGCAGTCTGTCTTACACACTATACAAGGGATTTTAGTAAGTCAGTTGATATCTACGTGTCTTGAAATATTAGTGTAAAAATTTAGAAATTGATTTTGTATTCTTTTCACTATGATGAGTGTTTTGGAAAACCAAAACTAATTGGAAACCTCTTACTAAATAGTTTATCTGGGACTCTTTAATCAGATGTTTTAAACTTTTGATTCCATTTTTTCTATTGTCCTCCACATTGTTGGGTGCTCGAATAAGGATTTTCCCAGCATGGGGTTCTTGTGGCTTCTCAGTGTTCCCCGAGTCAGCAGCTCTCAGAGGGAAGTGTATCAGAATTGCCTCTGGGTCCAAATTTCAAGTGCAGGCTTTCTGGCCCTTTCCCCAGAGTCTCTTGTTAGGTCTTAGCTGGTGTCGAGTAACCTGTGTGTTAAGCACACACCCAGGTCATCCAGGTGCCAAGGGCCCTGGTGCTGCTGTTTCTGAAAACTGCTTTGTCATGGGAGGTCCCTGAGGAGGCACCTCCGGGCCTGTAGTTCAGAGCATCATAGGAGGCGACGGGCCTCAGCCGAGGCAGACTGCGGTGGGGCTCTGCCAGTGTCCTGAGCCTTTTGCTTTTGCCACCTACGTTTCAATCGGAGTGTTTCTGTACTGGGCACCTGGATGACGAATGCATCCCTCCGAGTCTCTTTTGATCCAGACAGAGCCCGAATTCTGGGGCAGATCACAGGTAACCGTTGCACCTGTAAAGGGGAGTCATTTCCTTTTAAGTTAAACGGTTGAGGTGAGCTGTGCATTTCATCAGATGCCTTTTCCTACCTATAATCTGTGTGTTATCATTTGGAGCTATTTGCTTACATGGAATTGGAAGAAGGGTTCAATGATGATGCACGTTAATTAGGTTGAGAGTTGGAAAGAAATTGAAAGGTGATGAGAGAGTGAAAAATACTGCCCTAGAGGAAATACTCATTAATTGCCAAAGATTTAAGGACAATTACATGGAGCACTGAAGTATCAGTTCCATTTCTGATCTCTGTACAAAGAAACAGAAGCCTGGAGTTCATCTCTTTGGGTCTGGAAACGCTCACAGTGACATGTTCTCACAGAAATGTGGGGGCTGTCTCTTCAGCCATCAACTCCCACCTCTCCCTCAATACATATTTCATAAAGTCCATAGATAGGGCAACATTTTTAATATTTACTATAGTAATGAGTAGTCTCTAAAATATTTAAAAAGGATACCTCTTAAAGAGGCAGGAACTGTTTCTGTGGGTTGAGGTTTCTTAGCTGATTCATCAGTGGCATTAAGCTCACATTTGAGGTCATGCATCTCATGTACTAAACTCATCTTTATCATTTGTGAACGCTGGGACAGCCTTCCTAATATCTGAGCTATTTTGCAATATGAATGAAAAACTCAGAATGTCACCTTTAAAAGTAATGGGGTCTAGGATAGTTAGATGCTGCAGTATAGAGAGCTAGTATTTGTTTTTACTTTTCCTGTTGCTGCTATTGGTGACACATCTCAGGAAAAAATCCACGAAAGCCATTCTTTCACTTAGCACGGGATTCCCCCTACTCACCCTTAGGTTGTTTACTTCCCTTGCTGTCCCATATGTAGTAGGTCCTGGAATGACATCATTTCTTTGTGGTGCTGATGAGATGCCCTAGGAACTTAACTGTCTGTCAGGCCTGTCGGGAAATTCTTTTTCGCCTGCAGTCAGAACCAATGGACCATGTTAGTGAGGACTTAGTGTTGCAGAGTATCTTCATAGTGTGGGACTAAAATGTTGAAATGAGGGAAGATTTGCAGACAGACATTTCTCCCCCGCTCCTCCTGCCCTAGGCAAGAGATTAGAGGACTCTTTTCTGGAGAAAGAATGGTTCAGAGAAAAGATTCTGAGACACTAACAATCTTGGGTTCCACCACCGAAGAGTTGAATGTCCACCAATGATGTGGTTAGCCGCCTGTGTCCACGGAGCTCCAGGCTTGCTCTGTGAGGAGCTAACAGGCACCAGAGCATCCCAAGCAGAGGGACCAGAGGGATGGAGGAAGCAGAGGGAAGCAGGTGGCAGGTCAGACATCACTGACCTCGGGGACAGTAGGTCTCCCGCCCGAAGATGAGCAGAGGGCGCCGCAGGAAAGCAGTGTTCCCAGATCAGAGCCACCTCTTGGAAACTAGGGACGTGGTGACTGAGATGCACCTTGAAATTGGCAGCCTGGAAGCTAAAACTAAAAAATTGCCCTAGAAGTTAAAAAAACAGAGATGGAAAATAGAAAAAGAAAAGAAATAAGGGAACTGTGCTTTAAAGGTAGAGTTTGAGAAAGCATGAGTTTCCTGTTCAGATACGGTCTTCAGTCTACTGTTGATTCTGCCCTTGTTCTACAGCTAGTACTGGAGCATAAATGTCTACAAAGCAAAATCAGTAACAGAACAAATTATTAAACTCTCACAACAAAGCTGTTTTCTCATCCTGCCCTTCTTTCCTGTGTTTCCTGTCATTCAGCATGTGGCACCTAAGGTCTTTCTTTAAGAAGTAATCTATTATTTTCCCTTTGCATAGGTAACGTAGAATTTTAATTTATTTGGTCATCATGATAGCATCGCCTTTTGTTACTTAGACATAAAAATAGGGATTTAGTCCAGTTGCATTTATGTAAGGTTATTGAACTACTTTCCTCCTCCTCTTCGTGGGAACACAGTTGTGAGATTTGCTCTAGGCCAGAAGGCGACATGGTTTACCAGTCATGGCAGACCTGCCTTTGAGATTAGCAAGCAGTCTGTCATTGTGGCTGATTCTGTGCAAACGCTTCCTCGGGGTGGGTGAAGAAGGGTTTAATCGTCACATTGTCGTCCAACAGATAAGGCTCTAATGGCACCAAATCTCGACTCCTTTGGACGGGACCGGGCCCTGTACCAGGAGCACGCAAAGCGGCGCATTGCGGAGCGGGAGGCCAGGAGGTGATTCCGAGATCCCGGGCTGCTGAGGGGTGTGTGGGGCGGCATCTCTTACCTGGTTTGGGAACTCGATGTTTTTTATTCAGGACTCGTCGTCGACAAGCCAGAGAGCAAACCGGAAAGATGGCAGATCACCTTGAAGGCCTTTCTAGTGATGACGAAGAAACTTCTACAGATATTACAAATTTCAATCTGGAGAAAGGTCAGATATTTATCTGGAAATGAGATTCGTTGTTTGTTGGTTTCTGTTGGGTGTGGTTTTACCATCAAGCGGTGGTCTGAAGGGTTGTGGGCTCTGTTAGAACTGGCACTTTCTTCCTGAGTGTAGGAGCTTGTACCTGCTTTCACTCCTGAATATCATGAGTTCTCAGAACTAGACGTAAGCCCCTGCTGGGGGTTTACTTAGTACTTGCATCTTAAGTGACCCAAACTGTCAGGTCCGAGGGCAGCCTGGCTGGTCTGGAAAGGGAAGGCTGAGCGGTAGGGCAGGCAGCCCTGCGGGAAACGCCTGCTCTGGGGAGCCCTGAGGAACTGCACCCAGGAGGAGTAGTTAGCATGCTACCTGCCAGGTATTTCCAGAAGGATCCCCACGGATCTCCCTCTCAGCACTGGCTGCCCTCCCTCGGAATCCGATTCGCTGCACGACTTCTGGAACTCGGCTGGAGAAGCTCATTTTCCTTCTGCTGTTTTATAGTGAACATTTCTAAACACACAGGAAATGTGAAAGAATAGCAGTGATAACCCATGTACCTGTCACCTGATGCAGCAGTTCTTACTGCCTTCTGGCCAGGTTGGCTTTAACTCTGCATACAGGTGTGTGTGTGTTGCCGAATCATTGGAAATCAATAGACACGGTGACATTTCCCTCTAAAACTTCAGCATGTGTCCACTAAAAACAAGGATGTTTTTTCACCTGCTCACAATACCGTTGTTGCCCTTAGAAAAGTAACTAAAATTTCTTAATATTAGGTCTGTATTGAGTTTCCTCAGCAGCAGCCTCTGCAGATGCCGTTTTTGTGAGTCATTTTGTGTTTTTAAACGAGGGCCCACACCCGGCTCCTGCCCTTCATTGGTGGTTACAGCTTTCTATCTAGGATTAATGAAGACCCTCCAGCACCTGACACACATACCCTGTTATTGACCTGTTTAAGATACTAACTTTTTGAAGAGACCAGGCCACTTGTTTTGCAGAATGTCCTACATTGTAGATTTGTCTGTTTCCTCGTGGTATTAGCTTGTTTTTCTATTCACTGTATTTCTTGTAAACTGGAACTGAGGTCTGAAACCTTAATTAGATTGAAATTGTTATTATTTTTGGCAGGAACACTTCACGTAAGCTGTTGTTTATTACTGTGTAACAACAGATGACGGATGTTAGATAGTATCTCTGTCGGCAGTGTTAAGATTAATTTTGAGAAGAAGTTTGTCACACCAGGTCTCTTTCCCAAATCGTCTGGGGCATCAGGCAACCTTCCACTTGCAGATCCAAACGTCTGTCACTGAGTCTTGTCTTAGTTGGTTACTGCGATCACAGCTGACTTGGAAAGAAGTTACACGATTGGTCACTGATTCCGATGCACACGTCTTGTCGACAGTGATTGGACTGAAGAGCTGGCAGCAAAGTGGATGCGTTACGTAAATACTCAGAGCTAGTATACCATGGCAACTAAATTTGAACTGAGTTGTTGGGGAACAGGTGGCATTTAACTAAACCACGTAACAGAAAATGGTATATATTGGAATCATGCAAAGAGAGCGCCTGTACTTCGGATTGAAAGCTAACTTAAATGTTATCCTTTCTCTTTCTTTTAAATTGTAATTAACAATTATTACTTTGCTAGTGAGCCTCTCTCATTGATACTCAGGCTGCAGAGAAAATGCTGAAAATATTGAACTGTATTTGTTCTAGTCCATACTGAATTATGGGTCTCGGGGGGTTTGTTGTTGTTTTTAGATCGCATTTCAAAGGAGTCCGGCAAGGTTTTTGAAGATGTCCTGGAGAGTTTCTGTTCAATCGACTGCATTAAATCCCAGTTTGAAGCATGGCGTTCAAAATACTACATGTCCTACAAGGATGCTTACATTGGCCTTTGTCTGCCAAAGCTGTTCAACCCCCTCATAAGGCTGCAGCTTCTCACCTGGACTCCTCTGGAGGTGGGTGGCTTCACACTGTCAGAAAGCCGTGTGACAGGATGCCTGGGTAATTTTAATCTCGAAGCTAGAGGTGTAAGCTTAAGCAAACGCATTTTAGGGGACAGCATGGAGGGCTATAATTGATACTGATTGCAGCTGGCCTTCATCTGAGGCTCTTTCTTCTTATGCTCCACCCCTTCTCAAGAGAGCTATCTGTTGCTTTTCACTGTACATAATGCCTTTCTCAATCACCTGAGTTATATATAGTGACGCTAGAATAGGAACATGAATGAGTAAGAAGAACTTGGTCCTTTGATCCTAGAACTTAGAACCTCATGGGAAAGCTCAGTGAGGCAGGTATGAAATAAAGACCTAGCCCTGGCCGGTTTGGCTCAGCGGTTAGAGCATTGGCCTGCGATCTGGAGAGACCCGGGTTCGGTTCCCGCTAAGGGCACGTACCTCGGTTGCAGTTTGTTCCCGGCCCTGGTTGGGTTGTGCGGGTGGCGGCCCTTTCACATCGATGTTTCTCTCTCTCTCTCTCCCTCCCACTCTATCTGAACAAAATATCGAAAAATGTCCTCGGGTGAGGATAAAAAAAATAAGAAATAAAAGACCTGAACTGATAAGTCAGTGTTAATGGAAATTGGGAGGGTAAGAAATTGATAAATTTTGAAGGTGGAGTCAGGAGGGCCTGTTGGCCTCACATATAGGAGAGCAGACCCGAATTTACTGTGTGCGTCTAGTGGTCACGTTGAAGATTTAGATTTGGAAGTTACTAACATGGGTACAGCTGTGGGTATTAATGACATTGGCTGGGTTGAATGTAAACTAAGGAGAAGAGGGTTGAGGTTGAAACCCTGGAAATTATCAGGAAAAATGTGAACTCTAGAACCATTCAGCTCGCAGCTCCCTCTCTCTCTGCTGAGACATGGTTTCCCACTGTGCACGTGTGTCTTAGCACACGGCTGAGGCTCAAGAGGACCCGCGTGCGTCTCTGTGCACGTGCGTCTTAGCACACGGCCGAGGCTCAAGTGGACCCGCGTGCGTCTCTGTGCACGTGCGTCTTAGCACACGGCCAAGGCTCAAGTGGACCCGCGTGCGTCTCTGTGCACGTGTGTCTTAGCACACGGCCGAGGCTCAAGTGGACCCGCGTGCGTCTCTGTGCACGTGCGTCTTAGCACACGGCCGAGGCTCAAGTGGACCTGCGTGCGTCTCTGTGCACGTGTGTCTTAGTACACGGCTGAGGCTCAAGAGGACCCGTGTGCGTCTGGGTGCACGTGTGTCTTAGTACACAGCCGAGACTCAAGAGGACCTGTGTGCATTCTGGAATTCTCCAAAAGTAGCTCCCTCCGCTGCCCCACAGCTTTCAGAGTCTCAGCCTCCCTCAACTCCAGTTTCTGTTCCATGAGCTCAGCAAGTTCTCGCCGGCTTACAGTCCCCTGCCCTGCCCTGCCGATGGGCAGTTCACCGCACCCGGCACGCCTATTTCAGGGTTCTCAGTCCTGGACTGCCTGCGGTACATTATCTGCAAACAGATGTTTTCTATAGTTTGCCCAGTTTTGACTTATGACTGAAGGTTAAAATCCAGGCGTTATTACTTTCATAATGGCTAGAAGCAGCAGTAGCCACTATTTTAAATGTGTTTGGATAACCTTTTAAATTTTTTATAGGCCAAATGTCGGGACTTTGAGAACATGCTGTGGTTCGAGTCCTTGCTGTTCTATGGTTGTGAAGAGCGAGAGCAGGAGAGAGACGATGTGGACATTGCGCTGCTGCCCACCATTGTGGAGAAGGTGGTTCTCCCGAAGCTCACAGGTGGGGTTCCAAATCGCACCCTCGAACACACTGGGGTTCTCACTGGTGGTTTTTAGGGTTTTTTAATTACAAAATATTTCCTCATAGAAATTACATTATAAATGATAAAGTTACCACCGGGTCCAGAGGCAGCTAAAGATACATGTCTCTGAACCTGGGACTTGACGACCATCTTGGGGTAGGCCTGGAGTTGGAGTCGATAACTGATACATTGGCAAATTTTAGAGACTCTTAAAGATTGCCTGAAGCAAAACATAAATTCGGGGGACATGTGCATTTTTCTGGAGAGTGATTTCATAACTTTCTCACAAGAGATTAGAAGTCTTTGATTCGGAAACCAATGTAAAGTATTAATAATAAGTCTTAATTTTAGTTAAACGTTCCTGGTGCTGGGACAGTATGTCTTAGGATATTGAAATCTTTCCCCATCTTTATTTTTTACTGATAAGCATAACATAGAGGACTCTGTCTCCTCTCCACTTTGCCTAACCCTCAGCATTCCCACAGTTAATTGGACGGAGGCTTATGAGAGAGAGAGAGAGAGAATATCAGCATTTATAAGTTGAGGACTCTTAACATCGATTTAAGTCAGCTGCAGTTTACCGCTATACCTCAAAACATTCTACCTTTTTCTTAACAGTGATAGCTGAAAATATGTGGGACCCCTTTTCTACAACACAGACTTCAAGAATGGTGGGGATCACATTAAAGTTAATAAACGGATATCCTTCTGTAGTGAATGCAGAAAACAAAAATACACAGGTAATTTCATTACTGTTTTTGGAAGGTTTTTTGTTTTTTTCTCCCTGTCCTTTTGAAAATGAGCAAGAATTGAGAGAATGAGTAGCTATATTCTAAATCAACTGGAAAATCAATTCTCCCACTTGGGCCATCTGGTCCTTTATAAAACCTGAAATATGCGAAATTTGAGATGATGGTTTTCAGTTTTAAAGTATCTACATTGGAAGGATACTGTAATGAGTCTAGACTGCCTCTCAGTCTTACTGTTACCACCCTTTTTACACCACCCCCACCGTAACTCCAATTGGACTAATTAAATATCCCTTTAAGAACTGGATTTTTAGGGAAAAATTGTAAAACTACCAGAATAGGTAATAATTGATTATTTACGTGCTGAAACATTTAAATAGCATGTAAAACAACTAATAACTAGTTTCCAAATTTCAAATTGCTATTGTCCCCCATTGGACATTCTTAGGAGCTCTTTAGACATAGAAAAGGTACTTTTTATCATTGTTATATTTTCAGTGACATAATTTAGAACAGAACCAGATTATGTGTCTGCTCTCAGATCTTTGTGTAGCAGATGGAAGGGCTGGAGGTTTCTCAGTGGCTTATTGCTCCGTAATTGTCGAGGGTGAACAGTGGAGCAGTAGGTGCGAAAGGCCCGGCTTCACTGTGGAGAGGGAGCATTTGGGAAGAGAGGCCACTCAAAATGGAACACGAGTCTATGGTTTGGAATACGGTTTCTTTTTATTTCTTAAACTTTTAGTTTTTTTATAACCCTTATTACAGTGTGTGACCAATTTTTGCCTCTTTAGGTGTACCTAAAAGCACTTTTATTGAGAATGAGAAGAACTTTAGATGATGATGTATTCATGCCCTTATATCCCAAAAAGTAAGTAATTCATGAGAACATTAAAGATAATAGTCTCCATTATCTTCCAGGGAAGGCTTCTTAAATTCTGGGTAAATAATGGTAGCCTGGGAGGCAGGCGGGACCTCGGTGTGGAGCCCTGCGGCCTAGGAGACCGCTCACTGGGGGAGGTCCCTGAAGCAGGAGGAGGCAGACGTGCTCTGGGTTCTCCCTAGAGGCTGCGAGTCATTTCCACTGCTTTCCAAACTTCTAGCCTTCCCGATTATAATTGTTTGAGAGACTTAACAGTTACTAACTCTTTTGTTTACCCGTTTTATTTGTAGAAATGTTGTGTCCTAGGGATCGTGTGATACTATATATAAAACATTTGAACATGCTATTTCTCTTTCAGTGTCTTAGAAAATAAAAACTCTGGGCCTTACTTGTTTTTTCAGCGACAGTTTTGGTCCTCAGTTAAGGTATGTATGGGGTATCTGAAAGGCTTCAGATTTGCTCGACTTTATATATTATGTTTTAAAGGTATTTTTATGTTTGACTAACTCCATAGGCTTAGATCTATGTGTATATACAAAGTCTCCATTTTGCAAAATAATGTTATTCCAAAAGTTTATTCAGGTTTGATGTTTTCATAGGAGAAAATGAAGTAAGGTCCTGGGTGGTGAGCAAAATGCTTTGCTCACCCACAGTCCCTTCAGAAACTAGAGCACTGGGCCCTGTTCTGAGTGTGGGGATACAGCTCTGGGTGCAGGGACCAGGCCTGACTAGGAGGCCACTGAGCACCCCTTTCTCCCTGGGGAAGTGATACTTGGGTCATTAGACCAGAGGAATCAATAGGATTTGGCCCCGAGGGAGGGGGAGGGGAAGGCAGGAGCCACTAGGTCACAGGGGACACTTTGGTCTACACACAGTAAAGTTTACTCTGTACTCTGTAGAGTCCTGCCAGTTCTGATGAATGAACTCAGTCATAAAATGACTACCCAAATCAAGATACGTAATACTTCCATCGTCCCTCCAAATTCCCCATGCCCCTTTGTCGTCCAGCCCACCCTACTTCCTGGTTTTCTTTGCAAGAGTGTTTGAGGACTGGAAGTACAGTCTGGCTCCGTTCACTTAACATGCTACATGTGAGATTTTCCAGTGTTGTGTGTGATCAGTGTGCTTCTTACTGCTCAGTAGTATTCCATTGCTTAGTGGATATTCCACAGTTTCTTTTTTTTTTTTCCTTAATCCATACCTCAATTGAGGGATATTTGGATTGTGTCTAATTTGTGGTAATTATGAATAAAGGTACACAGATTTTTCTGGGTATGAGTTTTTATTTCACTTACACAAAGTACCTAGGCAAAGCTGTTTTCCAAACCAGCAGTATGTTAAGTGTTCTCGTTATTCAGTTTTTCCTCATTCTTACCACATACCACACTTGTGATTATCAGTGGTTTTATTTGTTTTTGAGTTCTGTTAGGTATATCGTGGTATCTCATTACGGTTTTAATTTGCAGTTCCCTAATGACTGATGGTGCTGAGCATGTTTCCAAGTGCTTAATGGCCATCTGTCTATGTTGTTTGGTGAAGTGTCTGTTCAGATCTTTGCCAATTTTTAAAAATTGGTTTTCTTTTTTTTAATCCTCACCCAAGGATATTTTTGCATTTATCTTCAGATAAAGCAGGAGGGAGAGAAGGAGGAAGAGAGAGAGAGAGAAACATCAGTGTGAGAGAGACACATCAAGTGATTGCCACCCACACGACCCCAACCAGGGCCAGGGACAAACCGCAACAGAGGTATGTGCCCATAGCGGGAACCGAACCTGGGACTCTCTGGTCCGCAGGCTGAAGCTCTAACTGCTGAGCCAAACCGCCCAGGGCCAAACAATTGGTTTTCTTATTGAGCTTTGAGTTCTATATTATGGATGTAAGCCGTAACAGATACATGATTTGCAAAGGATTTTTCCTTTTTCTGCAATCTGTGGCTTGTCTTCATTCTCTGAACAGTCTATAAAAGTGCAGAAATTCTTAATTTGATTAAGTACAATTCATTGCTTTTTCCTGTTACGGTTTGTGCTTTAGGTGTTCTGACTAAGAAATCTGTGCCTAACACAAGTTTTTCTCGTGTATTTCTAGAAGTGCTGTAGTTTTAACATTGCGTTTAGATGTTGCTTCTCGCACGGGGTGTGAGGCCGCTTGCAGCTCGTTTGTTCCAGCACTGTTCTGGAGAGACTTGTTTGTTGAATTGCTTTTGTGCCTTTGTGGAAAGTAATGGACCTTATGTGTGTGGGTCACAGAAGAGTTTCTATGGCAGGAAGTGACGTGAACAAATTTTCACAGTTAGTGGATTGAAGTCGGTTAAGTGAGGCTAGTAATAATGGAGGTGGAGATTAGTGTCTACTGTGTATTTAACTGTAAGAGCCCAGCACTGTGCCGCACTCTATACAGATCATTTTGTTGACTCCACGGTGGCCTGTGAGCTGCTGTTCTCACTCTGCTAATGGGACGGTGAGGCCCAGAGTAGCCTGCCAGGGCCCTTCCGGTGACAGGCGGGCGGGCCTCTGACTCGGGCCGTGCTGACTCGTGAGCAGCTCTTCTCAGCTGGGCTTGTAAAGGAACGAACGCCCGGTGCCCGAGACCTCCCGGGTGCGGGAGGGATGCTCTCCTTCGTTTGCATCTAGAACAGAGCTAGCTGTGCACCGGCCTTGGGAACGTGCATCACTCAGACCGTTTTCTGCAGGTTCTAGTTCTGCACGGAACCCCGCTTGAGAAGGACTGTTTCAGAGCCCCTAGTCCCTGGAGCAGTTGCAGAGCCCAGAGAGAGGCGTCGCTGGCTTCAGTGAGAGGTGGCAGAGAGGCCACAAGGAAAGCGGGGTGGGCGGGGTAGGCGGGACATCCAGGCTCTGGCCTGTCAGTTGATTGGATCGAGTTACTGTTTACTAACTTGAGAAAATACTGGGAAATAAATGTCATGGCCGGATGGCGGGGCTTCCACTGCACACGTATGGAGCTGGAGTAGCTTGCGAGGTCCAGGTGACATCTCAGTCCAGGCTCTTAGGATCTGGAGCACCAGTTGTCATAGTCAGAAAGCGTTCACATCTCTGGGAGTCGTAGGCCTGGCTCAGGCAGGATTGTGGATGGAGGGTGTTTCCCAAGAACCAGCACTGGCCCAGTAGTGCTCTGTGTGGTGGTGGCAAGACTGTTTCTGTGCTGTCCAGTGTGGGAGCCACTCGTTACATGGGCTCCTTGCCTGTTAGTTAATTAAATTTAAATTAATGGACATTTAAAATTCAAATGCTTGGTCATTCTAGGAAATATTTGGGTCCTTTAAAAGTGCTTATTTTAGTACTTTTGCAAGACAAGTTTCACTGTATTTCATAAGGTGTTTATTTTACTATGTAACTTATTTTGTACCTAAGTTAGTTGCTTAACATTGCCTCTCATTATTTTTTTTCTTCTTTCTAGCTATTAGGGAATTTTCTTCAATGGTATGGCATTTTCTCCAATAAAACTCTTCAGGAGTTATCAATAGATGGTTTATTAAATAGATATATTCTCATGGCTTTTCAGAATTCAGAATATGGAGATGACAGCATCAAAAAAGCCCAAAATGTGAGTTAAATGACAGTTTTCAAGGCACATACTTGTGTTAAAGTGAACTTTTTTTTGAAGAGAAATTTGGAATTTTATGAAACCCCTTTGGTTATTGGACTTGAGGGTAAGATTGACCCAGGTAGTTCCAAATCCCCACAGCATTTTTTACATAAAAATTTGTACTGTTGTATATGTGTATTTCTACTCATCCATCTGTGTCAGTATTTTTACAGTTATTAATGCAAGTTTTAATTTCAGGGTATTTTTTTAATAGTTGAATGAATGCTATTTTGAATGTTACTAAAATAGTTTCTTATTTAAGAAATGGTTTTTTAAAATACTGTTTGTTTTCTCCTTTATACATGAGTTCCCTAATTTGATCTTTTAAATACCTATTTTTTCAAATCACAAAATTAAAGCAGATTTGCAAGTGTAGTAGTTTCTCCCCGAACGTCGGAGTCTCCTGACATGATGTCCTCGCCCTTAGCTACTTCTGTTTCCTGTAACATGGCGTTCTTCTCCGCGATGTAATGTGACTGTCAGCACCAGGAAGGACTGTGTGTGCTGTAGCCTGACCCTTGGGCCCTTCTCCAGGCGTGGTCAGCTGTCAGCGATAGTCGTGACTGGGAAGGAAAGCTCCCAGGTCATTCACTGGTCATGTCTTTTCAGTCTCCTTTGGTCTGGAAGAGTGTCAGTGTTTGACCTTCCTAACCTTGACCTCTTTTAAGGTGATAGACCAGTTATTTTGTAGAATGTGCCTCAGTTTGGGTTTGTCAGGATAGTCTGTCATTAGGTTCAGATTCTTGGTGAGAATCATCCCAGATTTCATGAGTGGCAGTCCCTTCAAGTGGACTTCTGTGACCTTGTGACATGTCTTCATTTGGGGGGCATTTGCTTGCTTTCTGCCACGTGATGTTCAGACCCATCGGGTACTTGCTCAGCCCTGGAATCAGTCCTTCCTCCAGGCGTCCCTGGGTTCTCTAGTGGGGCTTGCGGTTCCTTCTCTCCACACGGACTGACTCCCTGAGGTGGGCTGCCCTCTCCAGTGTGGGACTCAGCTCCTTGCCTGGCTTTGTACTACCACCACGCCCTTCTGCTAGGCTGCTGCCCTGCGACCTGCCCCACGTGACGCTCCCTGCCCCCACAGCCCCACTGCCAGCAAGGTGCCTCCTCCACACTGCTGTGTGGGAGGGGCCGCCTCTGCTCCGCACTCTCAGTGTTTCTACGTGGACAGCTGCCGATGCAGGAGAGCTCGGTTCACTTAGGGCTTCCTGGAAGCCAGAGAGGGAAGCATTTGTTTCCAATATGATGTCCCTAATACATTTAAATATTGGACAAATTATTTGTCTTTTGCTTTGCATACCTGACCTATGTGTTGAAATAAAAATTCTAGTATATTAAGGAAAATTATATAGTCAGTGTAGGTTGAAAGACTAACCCTTCAAATTAATTCGTTGCATAAAGCTCAGGAGCAAGTCTTCTCGTTAAATACAGTGTACCCATGATCTAGACTCACCTTTGAGACACTGTTTCTTCCGTTTTAACTATTTTATTTTGCATCTTCTCCATAGGTAATCAATTGTTTCCCGAAGCAGTGGTTCATGAATCTGAAAGGAGAAAGAACTATTTCTCAGTTAGAAAACTTCTGTCGCTACCTGGTACACTTAGCAGATACAATTTATAGAAATAGCATCGGATGCTCTGATGTGGAAAAGAGAAATGCAAGGTAGTTATTTGTGATTTAATGAAATGGTGATGTCATCTTTACTTAGTTGTTAGATTTAGTATTACAGAAATGTTTTAAGTAGAGACATGCTTATATTTTAGTTTAAACTGTACAATGACTTACTATTGGTAAACATACCAAAAATATACATTATTTTCTCTTTTGGGGCTTTTACCTAATTTCTTTCAATAGGATATTTTATGGAGGCATTAAGAAGAGGCTTCTGGTCAGGACAAGGCCTAAGGGGAATGAATAAATTGTTTTCTGTCTCCTCCCCCAAAGAGTTCGGGAGACTCAGGCTCATTGATGCCATGGGCCTAGGTTTTTGTAGGTTCACTGTATAGCTACAAACCCTGTAAAAGACAGTGAAACCCACAGTATATTGAAGGTTGCCTCCCAGGGGCTGTGCTCTCTGGTGCAGTTCTCTGTATTCGTGTCGTAGACTGGAGGTCACCACTCAGGAGTCCTGGGGAGCAGCTTTAGATACACAATCTTTATCGAAGGGAGGAAGGAAGGACGGAGTTGTGATGTCTTTTCGTGGACGTTGTTTTGGATATTCATGTACTTTTGGGAAAATCTCTAGCATAAAAAGTAAATAATAATAACTAGTATAGCTTGGAAGAATTTTCTTTTTAAACATTTCATTTCAGATGGTTTTCCTCATACAATTTTTTTCATTTAGATCACACCATCAATCACATCCCTATAACAAAACCTGTTTGTTTCCCCATTCCTTCTCCATGTAAAATAACCTTATTTAGTAAAGATCGTTGGCATGTGCCCTGGCCAGTTTAGCTTAGTGGTTAGAGCATTGGCCCTCATACTACAGAGTTGCAGGTTTGATTCCTGGTCAAGGGCACGTACCTGGTTTGCAGGTTTGAACCCGACCCCGGTTGGGGTCCTGCAGAAGGCAACCAGTCAATGTGTCTCTCTTACATCGATGTCTCTCTCTCTCTCTTTCCCCTTCCCTGCCTCCCACTCTATACAAAAATAATAATAAAAATAAAAAGATTTTTTTTAAAAAGATATTTTGGCCCTGGCCGGTTTGGCTCAGCGGTTAGAGCGTCGGCCTGCGGTCCGGAGAGACCCGGGCTCGGATCCCGCTGAGGGCACGTACTTCGGTTGCACTTTGTCCCTGGCCCTGGTTGGTTGTGCGGGTGGCAGCCACTCGATGTGTCCCTTCATGTCGATGTTTCTCTCTCTCTCTCCCTCCCACTCTATCTGAACAAAAAATGGAAAAATATCCTCGGGTGAGGATAAAAGATAAAAAAAAAAAAGATATTTTGCCCAGCCGGTGTGGCTCAGTGGTTGAGCATCGACCCCTGTACCAAGAGGTCGTCGGTTCAATTCCCGTTCAGGGCACATGCCCAGGTTGTGGGCCCGATCCCCAGTGGGGGGCGTGCAGGAGGTGGCCAGTCGACGTTATCTCTTATTGATGTTTCTATCTCTCCCTCTCCCTTCCTCTCTCTTTAAAAATAAAGAAAAAAAATGTGGTAAAATTTTTTGGCAGATAATTTTGCTTTATATTTTAATTTCATCTTTGGTATGGTTGTTTATTGGTACTAATATTTCTTCTTAAGATGTTATATTTTCTTAGGTGAATTCTGTTCACTTTTTTTTTTTTAATGAGATTTAATTTTTTTCTTTATTGATTTTAGAGAGGAAGGGAGAGGGGGGAAGAGAGATAGAAACATCGATGAGACGGAACATCGATTGGCTGCATTCTGCCATGCCCCCCTCTGGGGAATGGGCCCACAACCTGGGCATGTGCCCTGACCGGGAGTTATACTGGTGACCTCTTGGTGCGTGTGTCAGCGCTCAACCACTGAGCCACACCGGCCGGGTCTGTTCGCTTTTTAGCACTGTTTGTGTTTGGAGCTAAATATCAGCAAATGGTATTGACTGCTTCTGGCACCTGCTGCGTGCAACACCTGCTGCGTGCAGAACAGGTCCCCATTGGAGGAGTTTCGCAGGGCAGTCCTTCCATGTAAGGCACTTACCCCCAGTCTTGTAGAGAGGAGATAACTGTAATGTCACACTGTGCGAATCACTCAAACGTGATTCAAACTAAGTGTTAAAACACTCAATCTTTAAGTGCTGTTCCTAGACCAGCAGTATTAGCCGCACTGGGGAGCTCTGTTGTAAATGCAGATTCTCAGGCCTGCCCACTCACACATTGAGGGCGGAGCTTCATGAACTGGGTTTGAACAGCTCCTCTAGGCGAGTCTGAAGTTGCTAAAATTTGAGGATGACTTAAGGAGAAGGCAGAGTGACTTTTAGCCAGGATAGTAAGGAACTCGGTTAGGCTTCACTAATGAGTTTTGAAGAGTGGAAATTATGCTGGGTTTTGATGAATGGCTTATGAATACACACAAATGTAATTGTGTTCCAGGTATGTTCTAAAAGAACTGGACTCTGGTTTGGGAAGGAATGGGAGGCAGGCCCTGGACTAGTTTGGAAATAGATTGCTTTTTTTTTTCCTTTTCTGGGTATTAATGAAAATTATTCATCTGAATGGAATTTTGCAACTTTTTTTTTTAAATGGGTTATTGGAATATACACAGTTTTGTTTTTATATGGATAAATTATATATATATTCAAATGTGCTGTAGTTTGCTTATGTCTATATTTTCCTTTAAAGAATGTATGCCTGGAAAAGTTGATTGCAAAACCTCACAAGAGGTCATAAAGTTAGTAGCAGGTTTTCCTTTAAGGCTTTGCACTAATTAATGAAATGCTCTTCCACTTTCTTGTTTTAGGGAAAACATAAAGCAGATAGTGAAACTCCTTGCAGGTGTCCACGCTCTGGATCACGCCATGTCTGTCGCGGCCGAGCACAATGTGAAGGAGCTGAAGTCCCTGCTGGAAGGGAAATCGACCTGAGACGAGCAGCTGCGCTTTCGTACCATTCCTGATGTGTAAAGTCTGTACATATGTAAAGTTTCTCGACCTGTAAAATAGTGGTTCTCGTTTTAATACAAAGAACATTATTAACATCCAGTACTGTGTCCTTAAATGCGATTTCTTCAGAATGAGAGGAATTCAGATTATTTCCAGGAAGTATGTGAATGTTTTCCTCACTGCCTGTCATACTTTGTTTACAGAAGTATTTTATATGGTTATTCCAGTTAGCTCTCAGTTAATTGTTTTTTACTCTGTAAACAACGTGTGCAGTGTAAATTGTGTAATTATGCATATATATTTATACCACCATGGAGTCACTTTCACACTGGGAATTTGTGGTGTTTTTCTATAGAGGAAACCTTTTAACAGCAGAAAATTATTCGGTAGCAGGTTGTCTTAGAAACATTGCTCCACTGTTGCAGCAAAGGGCTGGCAAGGGGCTGAGTGCTCCTCACCCGGGGTTAGCACTGCCGCCCTGCGGCTGTGCTGCCGTCCAGCTGGGAGCAGCGTGGACTCAACCACGGGCCGGAGGCGCGCTTCCTGCCCGGAGTTCCACGTGAGTTCTGAGACATGCAGCGTAGGTGTGCGAAAGGAACATAGACGTTTAATTTTTTAAAATAATAGACCCACAACCTAACTGCATGGTTTGGGGCTGGCTTTCCTGTCTCATTCATGACTTTATTCCCTGACCAGCTTATAGGTACATGCATTTGAATTTCGTAGTTTGCTGTATTTGAAATCCCACATATGTGAGTTACATATGCAATAAAGAATGCGCCTTGCTGATCGGCCGACACACCCAGGCAGTCAAATCTCCACGGTCTGTAATGTTTATACACATTGTAAATACTCAGAACTTGTTTTAAAGTTTATGCTTTCTGATTCTGATTTTCAAAAGAGGAACTTTTTGGAAATTAAGGACTATTGTTTGATAATTATATATGTAATTAAGCTTTAGCCAAGCATTAAATTAATTTTCAATTATATTCTTTGTTGTATTTGCTGGAAACCAATTTCAGTGACAGCATTTCAGGTGAGTCTAATATGGAGAGACTGTGAGCGTGTGGACCCCAGGTCAGCTCAGGTGCTGTTGGGCAGTGCCATGCACTCTGCGTGCCCTGTCCCTTTATGTTGATTCTAGGAGCACAGCTGATATCTGTGTATTCATTCTGGGTGAATTTCTTGTTGTATCTCGAAGGCTTACTAAAAAGAATTAAAATGAAAACACTTATTTTCAACTTCAGTGGAGTAAAAGGTAGAGATGTGTATATAGATGGTGTGTCCCCTCTCTACTTCCAAGAACTTTGGGACTGTCATCCTAAAGTTTAGCATAGAACTGATTTTAGCATGGAGACGAGGCTCTCATCTCAGCCACAAAGTTGTGTTTCTGCAGCAGCCAGAAGACATCCTTTCTTATCAGGAATTGTCAAAAGACAAATTCAGAGGGTGACATTTTAATAAAGCTGCAGCTGTGTCTTCAGACTTTGACTTTTGGAACAGTCTTCTGGATTAACTCTCAAATAAGTAGAGAAGGCTTTTGTAAAGGAAAATCATTTTATTGTGACAGTATAAACCACAGTCAGACTGATTACTACTGCTGTACAAAATGAGGAGGCCCCGCCATGTCCCTGTTGATGTGCTGTCCAGTAGCAAGCACTCGCCGCTGTGCCCAAGGGCCCGTCTGGGCCAGGCACCCAGCTAGAGTGTCTGCCGGGTGAAGTCCCCGGAGCCACCCTCAGCCGAAGACAGGAGTGGGAGAATCAGCACCCAGTGTGTTAGTCCTGTCCACTGGGAGCAGTCACCACGACAGCATTCGATGTATAAGAGATTGATGGTGGAAAGTCCTGTTTGGGAAAAGAGGGTGCTGGAGGAGGCAGGGTCAGCCTGCGGTGGGGGATAAGGGGTGACCTGTGTGTAGGAGAGGGAAGGAATTAAAGACAGTCTCAGATGTGGGTGCAGGTCTAAGAAAGTTTTGGGAAGGTTGATGGAGCCCTCCACCCAAAGGCCTGCTTCTGAGGAGCCCCAAGTCTCCAGAGCACACCTGCCTTTGCCTCCCCACTGCAGTCAGTCCCCGGTGGAGAAAGCTCCCAGGGAGTGTGGCCTGGTGCAACCAAGGGCTCTCGTGGGAGGTCTGAGAGGCGTGGTTGCATGTCTGCCACCAACTTCCTAATCTCAGGACAGCAGGCAGCTGCTTATCATCTCCCAGTGTGCTCTCCGGTGAGCGCAGTTGCCTCTAGTGATAACCTCATCACCCAGATGGCCAGAAACTACACCCGTTTTTGGTTTTTTTTGTGTGTTTTTTTAATCCTCACCCGAGGATATTTTTTTATTCATCTTCAGATGTAGTGAGAGGGGGAGAGAGAGAAACATCAACGTGAGAGGGACACATCAGCTGGTTGCCTCCCGCACAACCCCACCAGGGCCAGGGATGAACTGAAACCGAGGTATGTGCCCTTGGCTGGAATCGAACCTGCGACTCGTTCTTCCGCGGGCCCACACTCTACCGCTGAGCCAAACCAGCCAGGGTGAAACCAGTTTTAAAGCAAGTACCTTCCTCATGAGAATATACTGAAATGTAGAATTTCCTAATTTTTAAAAAAAATTTTTTAAGCTATTGCCTTTTTTTTCATTTTCAATACAATTTAAATTTCTTAATTGTGATCTTTATTGAGATATAATTGCAATAGAACACTTTGGAAGTTTAAGATGTACACTGTGATGGTTTGATACATTTGAATCTGAATTATCTTTTGTTTTATCCTCACCCGAGGACTTTTTTTTTTGCATTTATCTTCAGATAGAGCGGGAGAGAGAGAGAAACATCGATGTGTGAGAGACACATCGAGTGGCTGCCACCCACATGACCCCAACCAAACCGGGGACAAACTGCAACCAAGGTACGTGCCCTTAGCGGGAACCGAACCCAGGACTCTCTGGTCCACAGGCCGACTCTCCAACCATTGAGCCAAACCGGCCAGGGCGAATTCCCTAATTTTTTATTTTATTTTTATTTATTTTTTTAATCCTCACCCGAGGACATTTTTCCATTTTTTGTTCAGATAGAGCGGGAGGGAGAGAGAGGAAGAGAGAGAGAGAAACATCGACGTGAAGGGACACATCGAGTGGCTGCCACCCGCACGACCAACCAGGGCCTGGGACAAACTGCAACCGAGGTACGTGCCCTTAGCGGGAACCGAACCCGGGTCTCTCTCTACCGCAGGCCGACGCTTTAACCGCTGAGCCAAACCGGCCAGGGCGAATTCCCTAATTTTTTAAAAGCCAGGTTTACTGAAGTATACTTTATAAACAGTAATGTTGAAGTTATATGTAGTTCAATGAGTTTTGACAAATGCCTAATTTTGTTTTAAGTGCTTATCTCTCCCTGGTCGATGTGGCTTGGTTGGAGTGTCGTCCTGTACACCAGAGGGTGGCAGGTTCACTTCCTGGTCAGGGCACATACCCAGGCTGTGGGTTCAATCCCATCGGGGCACATGCAGGAGGTGGCAGCCCATTGATGTTTCTCTTTTTCTCTTCCTCTCCCTAAAATCAATAAAAAAAATTTTTTGAAAACTAATTTCCCTTGAAATCATGAAACTCTCCTAATAATGGTCAAATAAATGTTGGCGAGCTGCAAAATACAATATGAGAATGTAAGTTGCTACATGGTAGTGGTTCTTCATGGTTACAAGGGCTTCTCTCATCTCTAGCACGGCTGAGGGATGTTGCCATTTTGGTCTCTTCCAGTAAATGAAAATGGGAATAATCAAACCGAATTTCTACACGTAGTGAGAACAATGAAGTATGTCTGAATGATTGAGAGACCTCACACTTCAGGAAGCCTGTCATCCAAAACATTTGGGACGCTGTTCTCCAGAACTGAAACGATATTACCTGCCCAGCAAAGGCAGACAGGCTCAAAACGATTATATGGGCCCTGCCAGTTTTGCTCAGCTGTTAGAGCGTCAGCCGGCGGACCAGTGACGCACTTGTTCCATTCGGTCAGGGCACGTGGCCCTGGTGGGGTCGTGTGGGGAACTGGTCGCGCTCTCCCATCCATGTTTCCCTCCCTCCCACTCTATCTGGTGATAAATGGGAAAATATCCTCAGGTGAGGATTTTTTAAAAAATGATTATATGGGGCTGGTATTGATGTGCAATGCTTGGCCTGCTCGGATCCCTGGGTCCCTACAATCCCGCTCGCTTTCCCCCAACCCTGCTGGTCCTCACTCCAGCAGTGGCTTGGAGGTTCGAGTGCAGCACAGCGACAACTAGCACAGCATTTCTTGGAATATACACTGTGGTCCTGTTAAAAAGATCTGTAGGAAAATATACCTTGTATCCTGTACTGATGATTCAAAGCATATGGTGCAGCGTAAAAGATCTAACATCCTGTAGAAGCCCTTTTAAGCTGCTTGGCAGAAACACTTTGACCACAAAAGCTTACCTTTTACACTTAACCTTAGATGTTGAAGAAATTTGAGAGACACCTGCTGCTTAGGGACCAAGCAACGGGTTGAAGAGCGAACATCCTACAGTTCTAACAAGGAGCCATCCCTTTCTATATAATAACCCAACCCTGCAGATCCGGATATAAACCTGCAACACGCTGTTAACGACAATTGGATCAGACGTAATGTTCTCCAATTTGCCAAATATTGTCTTAGCATTTTAGATAAGAAAATGTGGGCTGTAAGGAAAAGGTAAACATAGCAAACACCTGTCAAAATTCATAGTCTTATAGGGCATAGCTTTTTAATGTCATTGTTTGGGATAATCATTACTAATTTCTAAATTATTAAATCCTAGCTGTAGTCTACTGAGGACATACTATCAGATTGGGCTATTTTTGACCTATAGAAATGGCAAGTTCATGTTTCAACCTGACAGAATTTGCCCATAGGAGAAATTGGGCAAAACTCAACATCTATAAATCAGGGTGTTTGCTTTCAATTCATTGAGGCCATTGGAGCTGATACCTGTAACACCTCTCTGGAGCTGTTTCGAGAGTTGAGAACGTGTTGGCCCCTCTTGCCAAGCGCTTAGAGCCTCGCTTAGAAGTTTGCGTGTGCCTCTTAACCTGTATTTCAAGTCGGCCCACCCCAAAGACAGTCTTCGAGTTTGGTGAAAATTTGTCCAGCTGTTTTCAAGTGTCATAATAAACAAGGAATTATACATAGGAAAGAGGGTCAAGAAAAAGAAGAAACAGTTTTTAAGTCACTAGTCAAAGTGGCCCTTGGGCATGTGCTTATTTCATGACTAAAATGATCAGTTTTGAAAATTGGTGGCTTTCTACAGTCAACTCTAGGAATCAGCCCTGTTTTACCCTCCACCCACAACCCCAGTTTAATTTGAAGAAATAAGAAAATTCCATTCTCACCCACTCCCATGTAGTGTTCTCTGTCAGATGCTCTCTCCAACTGAAAAGCATTCTTCTGGAAAGAGAAAAAGCACTCATGGCCTAGTAGACTATCTTTTTTTTCTTCTTCTTCTTCTTTCTCTCTATTGACTTTAGACAGAGAGAGGAAGGGAGGAGAAAGAAACATCGATGAGAGAGGACGATTGGCCGCCTCCTGTACCCCCCCCCCCCCCCGGGGATTTGGCCCACAACCTGGGCATGTGTCCTGACTGGGAATCAAACCGGCGACCTCTTGGTGCATGAGCCCTCGCTCAACCACTGAGCCCCACCGGCCGGGCCCAGTAGACTATCTTCATATGAGTTTAATTGAGGCTGCTGTCAGTAACCACTACAAAGAGCAAATAGTTTTTCTAAGGAGATAGTACCCATGAGAGAATGTCCTTCATTCTCAGAACTAAATCCACGTGTCTGCATATATCCTAGAGAAGAACCAGCCTCTTTTCTAATGCATTGCCGCCACTTTAGCGGACTGAAACCAGGGTGGGTCCAACTTCTCTAAAATAAACGAAGAAGTGATCAAGCCAGCCACATGACAGGGCCTGGAAGGGGAAATGATTTTGTGTGCTATGCCCAATTCCAATTCTGCTTTAGCACCACGGGGAAGAAGAAACAGCAAAGCAAGAGGAACCTGTTCCTCAGTGCGCGGGGTTCTTGAGGTTTTCGATTCCTTTTGACGCTGCTGGTTTGTACTTCATTTCCATATTTAGCTCTATTAAGTGGAAACCGTGAAAAGTCCCTTGGACAGAGCTCTAAGCTGGGGACCGTGATCTATGGAGAAATGGGGATGCAGGAAAGGGCTGGATGCCACAGCTGGCGGAAGCTGTGGGCCATTAAGTGACAAGGACAACTCCCGGGCCTCGGAGCGCATCTGGGTTTGCGGCTGTCCAGGTGGGCATGCTTTCTAGAGCGCCCCCCAGGGCCCCGGACACCCCACGGGTTCGAGAGCAGGCGCTGACTTTCCTCCTGCCACCTGCCCACGATCAGGACACCATGGACAGCTCTCCAGGCGCCGCCCCGCGGCTGCCCGCCCCTCCCCGGCCCCGAGCCAGTCCGGCCGCCAGGGCGACAGGGGTGGTCCTGACACGCGCCGGCGCGCGCATCCGGGCCCCAGAGCCCCTCCCTCAGCTCTGAGGGGCCCACGCGCGGGGCCAGGGACGCCGAGCCTCCGTCTCCCGGCAGCCCCCGCGGCGCACCTGCGGCCGCGGCCCGGGGACACCGCCCGAGGGGACGCCCGTGCGCGTGGAGGCGGCGCGCAGCCCCCCGGCGCCGGCCGCAGGGCGCTCCGCGTGGGCGGGGCCTCCCGACGCCCCGCCCCTTCCCCGCGAGGGCCGCGTCTCCGCCCCCTGCCGCGGCGCAATGCGGAAGAGATGGGCCTGCTGGAGCGGAAGTGACGCTGCCGGCGGCGGCGGCTGCGGGGGCGGAGGGAGGCGGAGCCGGCGGAGCCGGAGGATCCGGAGGACGACGTGAGGGGGCGGGGAAGCGAGCGGGCGGGGGGCGGGAGCGGCGGGGCCGCGTCCGGAGGCAGCGTCCGCGGTCGCAGGCGGCGGGAGCGGTGAGGGCGCCGCGGCGGCCCGGAGGGCGGGGTCTGGCGGACACCGCGGGTGCGGGCGCCGCCGGGCGGGGCTGAGGTGACAGCGGCTGTCAGCCGCCCGCGCGACGGGCACCGGGCGGGGCGGGCGCCGCCTTCCCGGCGGGCGACTGTCCGCCCTCCCCGAGGACACGGTCAGGTCGGGTCCCGGGCCGTGGCTCCTGCCGCCGGCTGGCCGGGTCGCCGCCGCCCCGCAGCGCCTTGCGGGGTGGCCCCCTCCCCCCGGAGCGGGGAACCCCTCCCGCCCCTCCCAGCCCCCGAGGACCGGCGTCAGGCCCGAGTCGGTTCCCTTCCCGGTAGCGACAGACCCGCAGCAGGAAGCTGATAAGGGGCTCCCGCGAGATACGCCCCAACGGCCGGCCTGAGCGCCCGGCGCCCGGCAGCGCGGTCACCGCCCGCTCCGGCTCCTGCTGGCCGACCGCAGGCGCCCTCCTCCCCGCTCCCCGCTCCCCGGCGACGAGGGGACGGCTCGCCTTCGGGATAAGCCCTCTGCCCGTGCGCGCTGCGCTCGCCCCCGCCCCGGCCGCCCGCCGCCCGCCGCGGGGCCCGCAGCCCGCAGCCCGCAGCCCGGAGCCCGGAGCCCGGAGCCCGGGGCCGCAGCTGCTCTGCTCGCTCCGCACAGGCCGCCTCCGCAGCCGCGAGGATGGCGTTCAGCAAAGGGTTCCGGGTCTTCCACAAGCTGGACCCCGCGCCTTTCAGCCTCATGGTGGAGACCAGGCACAAGGAGGACTGTCTCATGTTCGAGTCCGGGGCCGTGGCCGTGCTCTGTAAGTGCCCCTGCAGCCCGGCTGCTCGCGGGCCTTCCCATCGGAACCGGAACCGGCTCCGAGCCCTCCGCTTCGCAGAGGCGCCCCCCCCCCCCCACTGTCCCTCTAGGCGATTCTGCTTTTATTTTCTTTCAGTCAAACCTTATTTTGGCTTAGACTTTCATTTTCTTTTTCTCCCCCTGAGGCAGGTTTCTTTGGGGGGGGGGCACCTCTTGGCTACAGGATTTTGTGGGTTCCTCTGCTGCTTCTGAAAGTAAGCCTTTCAAGGGAATATTGCTGCAGTTTCTGTCACATCCCGTGGGCCCATAACAGGGCTTGCTTCGCATTTTGCCTATAATGAAGGGAATTTCTTACAGGCCAGTTGGAGTAATGAACTGTAAGAATATGTACTTGATGGTTTTGGAGTGTCTTACGGTGAGGACCTTAGGTTTGGGTTAAGAGAAGTGTCAACAGTTTTTAAAATTTCATGTGGAATATGTGATTGCTTTCATGTCATTTAAAAAATTATTTTGATGGTCTGTTTTAAAGAAAAGGATTACTGTATCACACAAAATATCATAGATTAGGCCCTGGCCAGGTGGCCCATTTGGAGTGTCCTCCCCTACACCAAAAGGTTGTGGGTTCGATTCCTAGTCAGAGCACATACCTGGGTTGTGGGTTCGATCCCTGGGTGGGGAATTGTACAGGAGGCAACCAGTAAGTGTTTCTCTCACATCGTTGTTTATCTTCCCCTCTCTGTTTCTTACTCTCAGCTTTTCTCTCTCTAAAAATAAATTTAAAAAATATCTTTGGTTGAGGATTTCTTTAAAACAGGGAGACTAGCTCTGGCCTTGGCTCAGCCGTTAGAGCTTCGGCCTGCAGACCAAGGAGTCTCGAGTTCAATTCCAGTCAAGGGCATGTACCTTGGTTCGTCCCCACCCTTGTCCAGTCGTGTGGGAGGCAACCAGTAGATGTGCCTCTTTTGCTCACATCGATGTTTCTCTCTCCTCCCCCCTCTCTCCCTCCTGCTCTATCTGAAGATAAATGCGAAAATGTCCTTGGATGAGGATTAAAATAATAATAATAATTTTAAAAAGGTAGACTAATATGGTTTGGGTTATTTTATGGGCAAATGCATGAAATTAAAAATAAAATATTAATTTGAATATCATACTTCTTTCTTAATATAAGATTTTGGCAGATTAGTCCAGTTTAGGGTTATTTGACATGTGAGTGTGTTTTTAAGAACATTCTAGTGATAATTGCTTATTCTTTATTATGTTTTTGCTATGTAGAGGCACATATAGCAGGAAGGGGCTATATGTGTTCTCAGAAGCAAGTGTTAATAATATGGGTTATACTCAGTGAGGACTTAACTTACTCAAATCATTTTTTATACCTAGTAAACCAAATTAAACTTGCTGTAATATTGATTTGCATAGCATATTTTTTCATAGTACAATTATAATTCTATACTGATGAATTCTTAAAATATCTAGGGGAACATGTTTGTTTTAGCAAGTGAAACATTTTTCAGCTGCTTGTGTTTTGGTGACAGTACCTGATTTTCTAATTTGTCTAAATTCTCAATGTTTCTTTAATTGCGGTTACTGGTAGCAATAGGGATCCAAATTTTCAGCTGCCAAGTATGCATTACCTACAGTTACTAGGGTCATTGCTGTACTTTACTCCAAGGGCAGGAAACCTAAGGATAATCGCACTTCCAGATCTCCAGCAGCTCTCTCTTATGCCAAAAAAAAAATGTTTAAAAAAATCCCTAATCCATCCATTTGGCATTGCCATTCATTTTAAAGGAAAAGAATATCAAAAATACTTTTTAACTACTCATTCATTGTACTTATTGTCAGTAGATTTAGACTATGTAAGCAATTCTTTAAGAAGGAAGTTTGAACATTGCCTCTGTGAAGCTCGCGTATGTGGACGTGTAATCTCCTGGGTATGTTATCAGCTCTCTCGTTTTAAACTTTACAGCAATACCTAAAATGTTAATGTTTAAGAGCTAACAGACCCTCTTATAAATCACTTGACTTATAAAGTTGATTTGACATTGAGTAGAGGGTGATGATGCCAAGGTGTGTATCGTGCTGTGGTGTTTATCTTTACAACCTTCCCATTTATAATTGCCTGCTGTGTTCAGGGAACTGTGCTTGGAAAGTGCCAAGGAGCGCTCTTCACCTTCAGCAGTCCCAGCCCCTTGAATCGTGCACGTTAATCTACCAGGAGAATCTCCTAAAACAGTGTTTATATTAAAGGAAGTATAACCCCATTTTTCAAGAAGATTAAGTTCAAATGCCTCAGCTTGTTAATCAAGGCTTCCCGTAATTGGGCCCTACCCCGTCTGTCCACTGTTGAGCGATCTGCTTTAGGGGAAGCTGGTGCTCCTCACCGTTTTCCCCAAGTACCGTGCTTCTTCCGGCCTTCATCATGCTGTTCCTGGCCTGCCCTCTCCGAGACCACGGAGTGCTCTTTTCTTCCTTTCCAGCGCAAGCCCGTTAGTTCACCTGCTCGTCCTGCTCATAGAATCTGTCCCACCGAACCCTCCAGCTCACTCCTGCGTCGTCCTTCCCTTGCTCTGTGTAGGACTCTGTCCCAAGAGGAACTGTTTACGTGCTGGTTTGGTTGGTCTCTGCATGCTTGTCTGCAGGCATTTTTTTTTTTGAAAGTGGATGGTGAAAGTAACCCCGGCAGGACTCAGATTCAGGTACCAAGGGTTTGTGATTTCTGCGGGCTCTAGTTGTCCTGGCTTTAATGAGTAAGGTTGAAAAAATTAGACATCTTGGGCAGTACCTATTGAGGGTCGGTGATCGCTGACGTGAAGTCTTATCTTTCATATTATTAGCACGTATCAACAAAGGGGGTGCAAGTGAGATAATCTCCGACCACGGATCCTCTTAGGGCCAAGTGTCCTAATGCAGCCTGGGGACTGCTTGATGTTGATAGGATTCCAAGCTTAAATCAGTTGTGATGCTAGGACTTGATCAGAGGGCCCTGGGTACACATTATAATCACCTGGGAGACTTTATAAGTACTAGAGCCTGGGCCCCAGCCCCCCACCCCCACCCCCACCCCCACCCCCACCCAGAGATTCTGATATAATTAGATTGGGATGATAATTTCTAAGCATAGTTTACATAGGCCTTTTTTGTGATCGATACATTTTATTGAAAATAACTGTGCTTCCAGAATTATAATGCTGTTATTGCTATTCTGGGGCCAGTACTGAGTTTCATTGAACCGAAAGCCTGGGCCGAGTGCTGATGCTCCCGCAGCACTTGCAGTGTGGCGCCGGCACATCGCGTGGAACTGCGGTGTCTGTCTGGTGCTCACTCACTCCCAGGTCTTGGTCATCTTCGTACCCCTAGTGTTCGTGCAGGGTTTGCTCACACTTGCAGAATGCGTGGTTGTTACGTAAGTGGCGTAGGGAAGAAGATCAACCTAAACTAGACAGCAAAATTGACAAACATGCAATATTCTGCATTTGAAAGTAGACACCTTTTTCTATAAAATTTATTTTCTCTTTTAAAGAATTACTGTTTGACTGAGCTGCTGATATAAAAGATATCCATATTGTTTGGATTTGTTTATGAAATAACTATAAACACATTCTTAAGTTCTTTCTGAAATGTCAATTACAAATGAGGTATGTTATTTATGATTTCTATAAATACTATTAACAGTTTGTTCTCAAATTTTCTTTAAATTAAAAATAATTTCATTATTGATTTCTTTTACTGCACTTATTTAAAAACCCTTCTGGACATTCTTATCCTTAGATAAATCAATATGTGCATTTATATTGTACCTTTGTTTAGTGTTACTCCTTTTAAAAAATAATAAGTCTAGAAGAATGTTCACTTAAACTGGAAATTGGACATCTATGGAACAGTGGTCCAGTAGCAAGGGGTCTTCTAACTAGTGTTCTGTGTCTGGCCCCGGGAGGCTGCAAGTGTGATGGTCAGCAAGTGGCAACACTGCCTAGAGGAGGGTTCGGTTTCCCCATTCTTTCTGCAGCTGTAGACACAAAAGGGCCATCACGGGAAGAACAGGTAGCCAGTCAGACGCATGTGTGCATTAAATTCACAAGCTATCTCATTTTCCAACCCATTTCCTGCTGTATTATTAAATAATGACTAATTGAAGAGGTCAGCACTTGGGAAATGGAAGAGGATTCCTCAAACAGAACTTAGGGATCACCTCTTTAAAGTATGTAGATTCCTCTGGAAAGGAAAGCGTTTGCTCTTTTGGCTGTCACATGGTAGTAAGGATTGCTTGCTTTCCCCTTCCAGTGGTAGGTAAGATCATTTCAGGCTTTCCAAGTAGCGTGAGTTGAGTGAAATCAGCACCCAAGTTGTGCACTTTAATAGACAGCACACCATATCCCTTAACTCTAGCCTGGTTTTACTCCAGGTTGTTCATCTGAGTTTCACTACCTGATGTTTTCTTTTATCATAGAAATATGAGCCATAAAACCATAGTACAGTATTTTGGGGATCTTTGTCACAGAATCTGAGTATCACCTTTTCTGTGAAACTGCATACTGTAAAGGAGTAATAATAATGAAATAATAGTGCCATTTCCTGGATGCCTCCTCTGCCCGTCACGGCAGTAAGCCAGAGGTCCCCAACTTTCTGGTTTCATGATATCCTTGGTGTCTCATTACATTCCTCACAGCACACTAGGCCACAGTTCTGTTTATTCGATAGGCCCAAACAATAAATAATTCTTTCCTAACAAGTTGTTTGAAAAAATAATGCAGATAAGTTGAAAATAACGTAAATAACCACAGTTATTTACTAATGGGATGCGTGTGTTGCAGATTGTGGGATAGCTTCTCAGACCCTGGAGTCAGATTGGACAGTGCTGTCTCGTTTCCTGTTCCATGCTGATGTTTAGAAATCAAAAAGCTAGGATGTCGGCCACGGACTGCACTGCACTGTGATGTGGAAACTCTGAACTAACGTGTTGGATATCTCCATGTTTCCTCCAGTTGAAATACCCTG